AGTCAACAGACGATAGTGCAAACACGTGATCTTCAACATGCAAGTGTACTCTGCAATACTATATAAGTCTAAAAGTGGGTATAGCATGCATCATGTCAGTACCATGTCAGTATACCTGCCGGCAGGGGATGTGCAAACAAGACATTTTCTCTTCTCAGCATTACCACAAGCAAGAGTACATGGTCCCCAAAAGTGTGCAACTGTCTGCACAACCTCTATACAGTCGTGCGACGGCAGAACTTCACATCACGTGACATGGTTCAATAGGTTACGCTGGCGAACAGTGCAAAGTGACCACAAGTTTTAGTTGAACCCAAAGCAGGGTTGCGCACAACCCTGTATCTATCATGCACAGAGTGCACATAATATGTACGGGTTCGTCACGTGATGTGAAGTTCTGTCGTCGCAAAACCCATAGCTGGAGTTGCACACTCTTGGGGTTAAGTACTCTTGCCGCAAGAGACAATGACCCTCGACCCAGAGCATGCAAAATCGGAATACACCGTCTATCAGGCATGTGACGCCAGGATTTACACACATGTGACAAATCGGCAGTGCGTACATTATGGCGGTACGTGACGGTCCGAGGTGTAACCCCCCAGTGGTCACTTTGTATGGCTTGCAACACATCATGTCAAGTCATGTGAAGCTCTATTACCACAGCACTGTAGAGACAATATGCAGGCAGTTGTACACTCTTGAGCATCAAGTACTAGTGATGACAGCAAGTGATTAAGTATGAACGTACCACGTGACCCAGGAGAGGGTACTTGCCGTGTTCATACAGGAAGGTTTTCATCGTCAGCTCTCCGACATGACCATCGATGATGTCGTTCATCGACCCACCTTGCTCTTCATATTTACTATCCGCTCGTCCTCCACCGAAGCATCGCAGCGCTATCGCGTGCCGGGCAGCACACGGTCTAGCCAGCGATTCCAACGCTGGCTTTGCCTGCACACGCCAGCCAACCACACACACACACACACGTATCCGTTCGTAAACACCCATACACACGCGTGCCCGCGTGCACACACACACACACACATGCATACACACACATGTAATCAGCTGAAGAATTAGTACAAGGCTACAACACTTGTAGCTGTTCTTTCCTTTGCTTGGTGACTGGTCAGCATCCTACACGCCAAAGACATATTCCCCAGTCTTCTTTGCTAAGTGATGCACCCTTGTGGCGGGAGTAGTGGACAGTGTTCATGCCAGTAATTGCGTTCCCACGGCATGGTGGCAATGCTGGTAGCATAGACTTAGCTCTATCGGGGGGCTCGCGTAGAAGTGCTATGCCGGAGATGTTGAGCAGCGCATGGTATTTTGCAAAACCAGCACGATACTTCGATGGATATAGCTGGAGATGAAGGTTGTAGAACCCAACCAGGAACACCATGAGGATTGTCCACCACCGCCACCGCAAACGTATTCAACTCTATTCATATTTGCGGTGTTACATGTCAAACCACAGCGAGAACAGTGACACCGTAGTGGCTATTGGTGTGGTCAAGCTAACAAGAGCGCCAGGTCATAGCAAGGCAAATGTCGCAAATGGGCTCGCTTTTCCACGAAAACGGCTGAATGTTTGGGGCTCTTGGCCGCTTCCAGGTGTTTCTGTACGCGGTGAATCACCTGTGCTCAGTGCATTTGACCTTTCCTAGCACGCTTTTTTTCCGAAATAAATCAAGTTGAAGAAGACAGTAGAAATGGCTGAATATTGCGTCCAGGAAAGCACGTTCTACGGCCGTCTCCAAGCTACCTATCTCCCAGACACTCTCTCAGAGGAACTATGGAGGGTCAAAGAGCACAATCCTTCACGCTTGGACGCAGCGTGAACACCTCTTCTACTGAGCGCGATGTCTTCTCTCTGAGTGATAATGGCGGCGATGTTCGCGATGGCTGATGCACTGAAAATCGAAGTTAGGACAATCTAACCGGAGAAAACGTCTGAATTTTTGACTGAATCCTCTCTGAAGTGGGTTCTTGCCGCATGGAAAATTATAGGAAAATCGACCGGGGCAATATCGCCTTGGCCACGCTGTCCTTCGGCGGGAATTACAAAGTATGTTCGAACGACGATGAAGATGACGATTCCGCTAGTGTCCACCGCGTCCCCTAGTGTCGAAAATCGACCGTCGCCATTTTTCTGCTGTGTCCGCGAGCTGCACTCAAAACTCGATGACGCAATGTATGCGCAAACACCCTGCGCACTGCACGCGCTGAGATCCCTATCATAAGTGGGATCATTTCAAGTCCACCCTAGTTTGGGGATTTCAGGGGGTGTCGGCCGTTGGGTGGTTCAATGGCCAATTGAGTCATCTTTCCAAGATTCCTTTTGAGTCTCTCTCCCCTCTCCCGGGAGACCCACGTGACCAGTTTTGGCAGTGAGCAAGTACACGTGTGTGTGTGTGTGTGTGTGTGTGTGTGTGTCATGGTGTGCGTGTGTGTGTGCGTACATGTGTGTGTGTGTGTGTGTGTGTGTGTGTGTGTGTGTGTGTGTGTGTGTGTGTGTGTGTGCGCTGCAACCGCTGTGTGCTATCGCGCCAAGGCATGAAACGTCACAAGTGCAGCCGTGGCTCGGCCAGAGCAACCAACACAGACCGTAGCTCCTTCTGTATCGTTTGCAATTGCGGTCGGCGTTTCAGTAGACCACAGGACCTATCCCGTCATCGCCCCTACTGTTCCGAACCTGCTCAACCCCCCATGGGGTCCGCATAGCCAGAATATGGCAGCGCGTCCAAGGTCCAAGGTGTGTGTGTGTGTGTGTGTGTGTGTGCGCGTGCGGTCAATTCATCAGTCTTGCAAGCTGTTGAATGGTGTAATCCCAGCACAAGTTGCTATGTCTAACATAGCTGTTCGCTATCATCGCTTACGCGATGGGCATGTCTGAGGTCTGAGGTGTGTGTGTGTGTGTGTGTGCACGGTCAAATAAGAGAGGCTGGATCATAGGGAAATTCTGCATTGAAACTGTATTAAAGCAATACAGATCAAAATGACAGTGTTTCAATCAGTGCACAACAGAGCAAGAATGGGTGGAACTTCTTGACAATACAGACTTATATCCTCAAATTTCACGTCAAGATTAACTCACCGCAGAGGACAAGAGCGCAGCCATCCTTTGCATAGGCCCACTTTCTCTATAGTCTACAGCATCATTTTCGATTACACTGACATAGTCATTGAATGAAGTCAATAATTATTATTTTCAGTTTGAACGTTTTCACACTGAAGTAAGTTTCGATCCTTGACAACTATTTTTTCCTTTTTTTTCTGTCTCGGCTCCGCTGCATGCATGCTATGCATGCGCCCGCGCGCACGCTGCATGCTGAGTACAAAAAATGTACAAGCGATTCAAGAGAGAGTAGTAAAATACCGGGAATTGACTACTTCATTTTCTCTTCTTTTTGTAGTGATCTGATCAGTGCGGTGATCATGGTGATCTACCAGTGATCTACGTCGCGCGCGGTAGATCTACATGCAAGCGGTACATGCAAGATGATCATGATGTGTGATGGCCTACAACAAGTAGGCTATGCATATGCTGATATGGTCAAGAGTACATAACTACCAGGGAGTCGTAAATACCGGTATTTTACGACTCCCTGATACTGTAACTACACAGTGTAGTTATGTACTCTTGATATGGTGATCAGTGTGATCATCGGGTCATTGCGTCACGTCAGCTGTCGAGTGCATGCATGAGAAGCAGCTTGCAAACCAAGTCAAGAAGATTCCGAATCCAAGCAGAAGGACAACAACAGCAAAAAAGTATTTCCAGTGAAATTTCAAGGAAACTGCAGTCGTCGCCAGTTGGCGCATCTTCGTAGCCCATTTACTAGTTCTAGCTCTTGAGGGAGCAGAGTATACTAGTAGTAGACCGTGCGGTTTGACAATGGCACCGAAGAATGGCCTTGATGTCGGCCATGGAGACGAGGAGTCACTGCTCGAATCGGCGGCACCTGAGTCGCCACCAGCCTGCTGCTTCGTTTTCCCGATTACCTGCGGTACCGTGGCCTTGAGTATTGTAACTCTTGTGCTGAGCATGTTTCCCGTGGCGTTCGGTGTGATGCTGCTGAGGAACCCGGCGTACTATGCCTCGGTTTTGCCCGAGCTGAAATACAGTGAACACATGGTGACTATGTATGCTGGGTCCATGCTGGGTTTGGGCCTCATGTTCGTACTGTTCTCACTGATGGCAATCGCTGGGGTAGCCAAGAGGAGGGCTAGCCTGATTGTGCCGCTCCTACTGATGGGAGTCTTCAGCTGCGTGCTGAGCTTCTTTGTTGTGCTGGACGCAATGAACCCAACAGTCACGCATGAGATCTACCGGCACTATCACCGCCGTGGCAATGTCTTCTTCTTCAGCCTGCTGCTGTTTTTGCTCAAGCTTTACTACACGATCACACTGTACCAGTGCTACAGCACTCTGTCCACCACTAAGCGCAGGCCCAGAACCTGCGATGCCACCCGTCGCGTCAGTCTCCCAGAGCCGAGCCTGGCCAAAGTGCAGCCAGTTTACCCTGTCATCCCGCCGATGAAAGACTTCCCACCAGCGTATGCCTAAACTAAGCACCGGGTTGATGCTTCACTACATAGATACTGATGTGTTGGGAGAAAGATTCAAAGAGCCCAATGCAAAGGCAAGCACATCGAAAACCCATCATCTATTCCGCTGCGTAGCATACAATGGCCTCACCGCTTCTACGTACATTCTAATCTAACGTTTGATTTGTTGCTTTGATGTTATCTCGGTTGTTTCATGCAAAGGCATTATTCAATTAATTCTCAGTACATGTGTTGGTGTGTGCGTGTGTGTGTGCCTAGGTCTGATTCTAAGCTAGCCTTGTTACAGAGAACTTCAGTCTTATAAATGGCTACACGTTTTATAGGAGAGGCCGCTAGTGTTTTGCTTGCGCGTACGCAACCGAACACCCGTGTGTGTGTCAGCTTTCCGCTTGCGTGAATTCACGCGTATGTGCTCGTTGTGCCTGTCGTGCTTGCTACGGTGTGTCTTGTGCTTAGCCGTCCGCAGCTGATCTTCGCGCACTGACTCGATCGGTTGTATTAACCACAGCATGTACGCTCTGTTCGCCCTATCACCTATTTTTTTTTATCCGCATTCGCATGCAGCCAGCCAGTCGTGTTCAATTTTGTTGCCACTCCTTTAAATCACCATTGTGTTATCTTGTTTCAAGTAAATTGTTTACCTGTGTATTGTCTTGTCATGCAGCTCATGTTAGACTACTGTAATAATTATTAGAGTTCAAGCATCTTTCCCAGGATGGCTGTGTTTGTGTGTACGTTCGCATGACCAGGCAAGTAAAGTTGTACATGCCCAGGAGTGTGTACGACAAAGTTGTACATTTCTAGGAGTGTGTATAACAAAGTTGTATGTGAGTGTGTACAGTCATGTCAGTGCCAGATGATAACCCTCGCTATCAGGGAGTAGTAAAATGGTATTTTATGGTGTTGTGTTCTAATCCTTCACTGTGGTGTGTGTTCTGTTTGCCCGTAAAGAGGCTTTTTAGTAAAAAATGTTATTCTACTACTCCCTGGTCGTTATAATAATGACCTGTTTGGAATTTTTGCCCACATTGCTGTCCGCGTTGATTTGTGTGCACAGCTTTGTCAGCACATGTATACACTACCCCTGGCCCTGATAATTCAGTACCCGATGCGATGTGCTGCTGATCATTATGATAGTCATACTTCCCACAAATACTGTGACAGGGAGTTGTAAGAAAACAGTATACTACAATCCGGGAACATACGTGTAGTTTCCGGCATGCACATTATTGTATTGTTGACTCCTCGTATAATGAACTTGCACACAGCGAGTTAATTTCATGATAAAGAGCGAACCCGTATACACAGCATGCAATGTCCATGTCCCTGGTTTGAACCAGGGAGTAGTAAAACGACACATTGCTACTCTCTGGTTTGAACCCATACAAAATTGACCTTCATAGCAAACACATTTCGCACCATGTCTTGTAGGGCCGCAGGTAAACTACCAGTAATAGTACAATCACACTGTCATGGGCCACATGCCAGTCATGGTGTATTGCTTGTAATTGTATGGTGTGAGTGCATTTCAAGTATCAAGAACTTTGGCTATAAAGAACTATTTTACACACACACACACGCGCGCGCGCGCGCGCAAACACGCATGCATGCATGCAGATGCAAACATGAGCAGAACTACGCTCTGATCACAGATGTGCAAGGACATTGGCCCACAACTGCTGTTCTTGTTCTCTTCACCATAATTATTCATTGTCAAGAAGAAAGAAACAGTTAAGCCAGAGCGTCGTATTTGACGACTGCCTGAGTTCAGCAAAAGACAATCAGACCGGGAAAAAATAGGAGCTGTACAGAACAAGAGCTAAACCATGGCCAGGCTACTGCACTCAAACTCTACACAGCAGAGCACCTTTGATAATCAATGAAGAGCTAGCTGACCAGCTGCGGAGGCCTTCTAATTAACACTGAGTTGTGTAACATTACTCATGCGTGGGCATCAGAAAGTCAGTATTCAAATCAATAAAACCATCTGGAACATGCTCATGAAGGCGTCTCAACTCAACAGGAAGCTGATACCCTACAGTAAAGATTGAGGATAGCATTAAAAAATCATGATACCAGAAATCCATTTAAAAGACAAAATACTTGCAGGTTTTCCGCTCAACAGAGAAGCACGAGCCTTCCGCAGCAGCACAGCACGCACACGTCTTCCAGGTGGGTTGCGCAGTGACACCACGAACACGACGCGTCGTTCGTTCCCAGAGCTGTGCTGATCTCTGGGCTCTTCAGTGGTGGATACTTCACAGTGAATGAAATGCGACTACAGACGCACACACACACACACACACACACACACACACACACACACTGCTACTACCAGTACTACTAGGACAACTGTGCGGGCGTGTGGGAAAGGGAACATTCGATATACAACTGGCTATCTGATAGGCAGTTGATTTTGAGTGTCATAATGTTAGGAGCAGTTGTACATGAGTGTCACTGCAGAGGTCAGTCATCTCTCCATATCACCTCCACTTCGTCTGTCCGGTACCTGCAGCAGCACAACACAGGGAAGTGCACACAGTCATGATGTAGCCAAGGATACAAGAACATCCATCCATGCATGTGTGTACCAACACCAACACAACCCCCGAACATTCAACGTCAAACACCAAGCTGACCTTTGCGTGCACCAGGTGTCTTCCATCGGTGTGACAATGCCGGCACGAAACATCTCCCAGCCGGCTTGTGCGATCATAACTCCGTTGTCAATACAGAACCTGCACAAACAGAATGCAGCAGCAGTTCACGTACATGCACACGACCTGTGAATCAGCTCCAGGGGTGTAGCTGGTTCCCCTCTTAGGGGGTACACAGCAGCTACATCATACGTATAGCCTAGGATGGCTGGTCCATGTCATCATGGTCATTAAGTGCATGCTGAACCCAGGTCGAAATTTCTAGGAGGGAGCACATGCCCCTCCCCCTCCCCCGTGCCCCATGCGAGATACGCACCTGAGCTGGAGAGCCTCACCTGACAGCAAAAGTCAGTTTGCGATCACCGTCAGCTAGGGACTCATATATAAACCATGACGAAGACATGCCAGATCCCCGCAGATCACCCTAATCGTAACTCATGCATAGCAGTACATGTAAAGTTTGTCTATACAGGTGGAATCCTGATAATTCGAATATGGCTTAACGAACATACCGCTTAATTAGAAGTTTTTCCAGGACCGATTTCTATCAATACGATTCCCACATAAACAATTCTGATAATTCGAACCTCGAACTGGATATGTCCGGTTAATTAGAAGTCCCACAGATTCCACTTACATAGAAAACATGTGGGATTTGTGCTGATAATTCGAAGTTAGCAAACTGTAATTCGAAGTTCACTGTACATTGCACTGGTCAGTTCAGTTTGCATGAGCAGGCTGTGCCGGTCAGTTCAGTACCCGTGAAATCGGTGTCTAAGGTCCATAGCGCAACTCTGCGTGACCATGAGAGCATTTTGACATACATATTGTGTTGTGGGTTCATGTTTGGATAATTAGAATGTCCGGATAATTAGAAGTTTTTTCCTGGCATTTTGAGGTTCGAATTATCAGGATTCCACCTGTACCACTACCCGGCACCGACCCAGAAGCTGGGCGCCACACATGTGCACTTCACAGAGCAGAGAGACCAAATCTGGTCGTCAGCAAAACTCACCTATTGTCGGTGGCATACAACTTAGCCCCTCTCTCCACACACATTTGACCTAGATTGCAAGCAAAATGAACATACAAAAGGCACGCGCATGTTCTAGTATGCACTTTGTTGCAGTACCACAAGCCTACATCCACACAGGAGAAGATGGTCGCTATAAAGTACTTACACAGAGCTGTACAATTGCACTAAGACAATCTTCCTGTTCTAGGGCAGGCTTTGGCTGGAAGTGACCAACATACAGTTGTGGCCAAAGAAATCCAACCCACGTGCCGTACGCAGCGCCAAGGCTCATGCGGCCCCTACGGCCCTCGGGTCAGTTTTGGGAACATGCATGATGTCATTGAAATGGAAACGAGGCGCTACTTTTGACTCGCGGGTCGGATTTCTTTGGCCATGACTGTAGTTGGCTGACATTGTATTGTATTATTTTGCATTTTGTATTTATTAATTCTCCATAAGCCTTTACATGGAATAGGTTTGCTCCCACACTGGAGCTCGCGCTATTCCGCTGACTTGACTTGACTTTCCATGTAGCCTAAATCCAGGGAGTCTCCGTGTCAACAGCTATAGAAAAAGAAGAAGCCGAAGAGATGATAAAAAAAAAGTAAAAGCATCGCTTGTAGATGGGAGGTGTGTGTGTGTGTGGGGGGGGGGGGGGGGTACAGCACACCTGCATTGTGCTACAAACAGTAAAATTGGGGTCACTGATCCACAGAGCCACAATTGGTGCTTGCACTTTTCTTTTTTTCCGACTTTTTACTTCGCAAAATCCAAACGGGAATTTCTTCCCAATGATAAGGTAGCACTGATTCTTAGCATGAACGGCGTGAACATTTGCACCCCAATAGTGCCAATACACAAAATCGACAATGCATGCAAATAGGACTGTGATCCCAGTGCTCCCCCGACAATATTCAATCCCTCCCATTAGAGATCTGGCAGCTGCACACAGGGCTACAGTTACATACCCATCATTTCCTGAAGCCGCTTGTTGCCTGGGAAACACACAGAGCAAACAATGGCAACATTTCACAAAGAGAAAATCGGCCACAAGAACCTGTCATTGTGTCAAAATAAGGCTAACCAGATTTTGAGCTGCTGTGAGCATGTGGCAGCGTATCATCAACAAAACCTAAAGTAGACGTTGCTATCAGATGGCAGCGCACATTGCACAGCAAAGACCAATACAAGTACACTGTACACTGACATCAATATTCGCCAGCATTCAGTTCACATTCAGCTATCCAAACTGATGAGGGAAGTGTATTTTTGCACATGAGTACAATACATACACGAACGAACAACTTGTATATGCTCCCTGCCAGAAACTGGTCACGTGGGTCTCCCCGGGAGAGGGGAGAGAGATTCAAAAGGAATCTCGGACAGGATTCAATCGGCTATTGAACCACCCAACGGCTGACACCCCCTGAAATCCCCAAACTCGGGGTGGACTTGGAAATGATCCCACATATGGGCTCACCACATTTCAGCAAGCGGGCGAGAACAAGGTGCACACACACACACACACACACACACACACACACACACACACACACACACACACGCCAACACACCAATACGCGCACATCAACATGCGCACACCAACACACGTGCGCGCACACACACACACATCATATACCATGTACCACGTATACGCCCGTCGCAAGAGAAGCACGCAAATCTGCAAATCCACTGGATGTGCCCCCACAGATTTTCACGTGCACACCAACACACGCGCGTGTGCATGCACACACACACACACACCTCAGACCTCAGACCCGCCCATCGCGGAAGCGATGATAGCGAACAGCTATGTTAGACATCGCAACTTGTGCTGGGGCTACACCATTCAACAGCTTGCAAGGCTGATGAATTGACCGCCACTATTTTTAGCCTGGTATCCACCACACAGCTGATTGAAGTGACTTTTTCTGGCCAGTGAATCCCTATTTTTCATTTTTCCATTTTTCTACACACACACACCACACCACATACTCCGGCATACACTGGCTGTTAGTAACCACCCAGGAGAATGAAAGAAAAGTCAGGAAGAGTCCGAGAAAGAGAAGAAAGACGTGTGCGACCATAATCGTCGGGAATTGAACCCGCAACCTCTCGATTGGAAATCGACTGCACATACCACTGCACCATATGGGACACACACACACACACACACACACACACACACACACACACACACACACACACACACACACACACCATGTACCACCACCACCACCACCACCACCATGTATACGCCCGTCCCAAGAGAAGCACGCAAATCTGCAAATGCACTGGATGTGCACCCACAGATTTTCTCTTATAGCAACGATAGCGAGCAAGATCTGAATGAGACAGATCAAGACTTGCGCCAGATAACTGTCTAATCCACGCAACTGGCGAAGCCATGTGAATCGACCACCAATGTACACCTGGTCTACACCACACGGAGTACATCGGCATAAAACGGCCAAGACAGTTACCTATGCACACCCTACACTTGCTGGGGTGACTAGTATAGACAGCACGCTGCTTTGATAGAAGCAGACACTAGATGCACTGGTGCCTTGAAGTTAAATTGGAGTTACTTTACCAACCAGCCTCGGCTACTGAGTACTGGGAACCCAGAGCCAACAGACATACCAACAACCTCCGCCATAAAAGCTATAATAGTAACGACACACTGGATCGTGAAGCCGAAACTAGTCCAACTTCCAAATGCTTTGGCAAGAAGGTAGCCTTCCGACAGGTTGGACACACACACACACACACACACACACACACACACACACACACACACACACACAAAACAGATCGTAAAGGAAGCAAAATCCAAAATGCCACACATGTAGGTAGGTACGTACAGCCAACGCCTCCGACTATAAGGACTTCCTCTGACCGGCAGTGTGCCATTGCACGCTCTGCATTGCAGGAACACCAAAAACACCAACATACACCAACATGTCACTTGTTGTATTTAGGGATAGTTCAGGAGCGTGACAGACGAACTAGTCTTTCATTTCCTGGGGCTATTATTCAAATGCCACAACTTTCAGGGCTAAGTTTTTGGACGTCATGAAAAACTGATATTGTTACTTGATTCCGCTTCTTTCAAGGAGAAATAATTGAAAAGAAGTCCCGAAAAAATGAGAAATTAGGTCTGAAAGTCACCCCGTCACGGACCGTGCCTTATGACTTGCGCCGTTCGATGTTGAACATCGCAACGATTGCTGCATGTCGTGTCGTACGAATCGTACAGGATTTTACAGCTCACCCCAGCCTTCCCGACAGGCCCTTACGTCCCGTACCGTCAGCGTTGCGTCAAATGTGAACTAGGCTTAAGACTCGGTGTGCTGGATTGTACACATGTTCATCCTGCACTGGCAAGTACTGTGTACAGCGGTGCATGCGTCAGTATTGTGTACAGCGGTGCATGCGTCAGTATTGTGTACAGCGGTGCATGCGTCAGTATTGTGTACAGCGGTGCATGCGTCAGTATTGTGTACAGCGGTGCATGCGTCAGTTCAACACAGTATTTCATTGTATACGCCAAAAGTCGCTTCACAGGCAGAAATTCGACAGGGGGCGGGATCAACGGTACTTTACGGCAGTATCAAGAGTACATACCCCCAAGAGTGTGCAACTCCACTTATGGGGTCTGCGACGGCAGAACTTCACATCACGTGACGAACCCGTACACATATTTGCACCCTGTGCGTGATAGATACAGGGCTGTGCGCAACCCTGCTTTGGGTTCAACTCTCTTGTGCTCACTTTGCACTATTGATAGATACAGGGCTGTGCGCAACCCTGCTTTGGGTTCAACTCTCTTGTGGTCACTTTGCACAGTTTGCCAGCGTAACCTTTGAACCATGTCACATGATGTGAAGTTCTGCCACCGCAGCACTGCACAGAGGTTGTGCAGGCACACTCTTGGGGGTATCGAGAGTATACAAGCCCCCAGGAGTGCGCAACTCTATATTATATCCTTTCCATGGGGTCTGCAGACGGCAAAACTGACATCATGTGGTGTAATGTAGAGTAGAACCCGGGTTAAGGGTCAAACCGGATTAGGGATCGGAGCCTGGGGGGGGGGATCACTTGGCACGTACATTGTGCGGGTGATCCTTCGGAGCCCGGGGGGGGGGGGGGGGGGGGTCACTTGGCATGTACATTGTGCCGGTGATCCTTATACCGGGATTTAATTTCCGGCCCAAGGGGGGGGGGGGGGGGGGTCCCCCGTCGGTTTCCGAGGAAGCCGTAACTTTTTTCGCACCAAACTATTTTTCCGGAGTCCGTCTACTCACAAGAAGTCGTTTTGCACACCTTTTTGCCCATCCCTGTACAACTGAGTCCAGCTATGTCCGCGCAGAGTTAGGTGGACCCTTAACCCGGGTTCTACTCTACACATTGTACGTTCCCGGCCCGGTTTTAGACTTTTAGTGAGCAGTGGAATAGTAAAACTAGCACTCCCTGACAGAAAGCCACTCAGCCTATGCGAGTCATCAGCATGATCAAGGCAGATATCGGGATTTTGCGGACTCCTTGACGTTCGTTGTACATAATACCGTACCTGGAACACGAGATGTGAGTTTTCGCCGCCGGAGACCCTGTATGCAGAGTTGAACACTTTTGGGAGCTTATTTACTCTTCGTAATACTAAGAGTAAATAACCCCCATTAAAGGGGAAGTTAAAGGGGAAGTTAAGGCAAAAATCAAAATTTCACCAGTTGTAGTCTTCGGGGTGCTGAGTCGAATGGTCTTGGTCCGAGAAAGCTGAGACGCTCCCTTCCTACTTGAATCCCAATCGAACTCGCGCACTTCCACCGAAACTGGGTGACTGCGCCCTACTAGATGGGGATTTGTATGCAAAATGTCACTAAAAGCGCCATTTCGTTCTTATAACAGCACGGATGACCGCAATTGGCACATATGTTGTAGTCTTTTGGACGCTGTGTCGACTGGTTTTGGTCCGAAAAGGCTGCGATGCAGCGTTCGGCCCTTATTCCCAATCGAACGTGGTTGAACAAGCGGTCACGTGCTCCTGGGTGCCCAAATCACCTGGTCACCACGCCAGCAGGCGACAACTTTCACACCAAGGTTCAACTCGAGTTCAACTCGAGTGACAGGACTGCACCCAAAAAAGGTCAAACAGGCTAGTAAGTTGTACCCTGCAGGCACGGTGACCAGGTGACTGGTGTACGCAGGAGCACGTGACCACTTGTTCAACCATGTTCGATTGGGAATAAGGGCCGAACGCTGCATCGCAGCCTTTTCGGACCAAAACCAGTCGACACAGCGTCCAAAAGACTACAACATATGTGCCAATTGCGGTCATCCGTGCTGTTATAAGAACGAAATGGCGCTTTTAGTGACATTTTGCATACAAATCCCCATCTAGTAGGGCGCAGTCACCCAGTTTCGGTGGAAGTGCGCGAGTTCGATTGGGATTCAAGTAGGAAGGGAGCGTCTCAGCTTTCTCGGACCAAGACCATTCGACTCAGCACCCCGAAGACTACAACTGGTGAAATTTTGATTTTTGCCTTAACTTCCCCTTTAAGGCAAAAATTAAAATTTCACCAGTTGTAGTCTTCGAATGGTCTTGGTCCGAGAAAGCTGAGACGCTCCCTTCCTACTTGAATCCCAATCGAACTCGCGCACTTCCACCGAAACTGGGTGACTGCGCCCTACTAGATGGGGATTTGTATGCAAAATGTCACTAAAAGCGCCATTTCGTTCTTATAAAAGCACGGATGACCGCGATTGGCCCATATGTTGTACTCTTTTGGACGCTGAGTCGACTGGTTTTGGTCCGAAAAGGCTGCGATGCAGCGTTCCTCCTTTATTCCCAATCGAACATGGTTGAACAAGCGGTCACGTGCTCCTGGGTGCCCAAATCACCTGGTCACCACGCCAGCAGGCGACAACTTTCACACCAAGGTTCAACTCGAGTGACAGGACTGCACCCGAAAAAGGTCAAACAGGCTAGTAAGTTGTACCCTGCAGGCTCGGTGACCAGGTGACTGGCGTACGCAGGAGCACGTGACCGCTTGTTCAACCATGTTCGATTGGGAATAAAGGCGGAACGCTGCATCGCAGCCTTTTCGGACCAAAACCAATCGACTCAGCGTCCAAAAGACTACAACATATGGGCCAATCGCGGTCATCCATGCTTTTATAAGAACGAAATGGCGCTTTTGGTGACATTTTGCATACAAATCCCCATCTAGTAGGGCGCAGTCACCCAGTTTCGGTGGAAGTGCGCGAGTTCGATTGGGATTCAAGTAGGAAGGGAGCGTCTCAGCTTCCTCGGACCACGACCATTCGACTCAGCACCCCGAAGACTACAACTGGTGAAATGTTAATTTTTGCCTTAACTTCCCCTTTAATGGCGTGCAACTGCCTGCACAACCTCTATCCAGTGCTGCGACAGCAGAACTTCACATAATGTGACATGGTTCAAAAGGTTACGCTGGCAAACAATGCATAGTGCAGGGTTGCGTACGACCCTGGATCTATCATGCGCATAGGGTGCAAATAATGTGTACAGGTTTATCACATGATGTGAGGTACTGCCATCGCAGAGCTAGAGACGCAGACCCCATAGCTGGAGTTGTACACTCTTGGGGGTTACCATATCTTTTCTTCGAGCCCGGGGTTCTTATTTTGTTCCGTGACAGCTCTACCCACGCTACTACCGGTATTAGAGACTGTGCTATCATCGGAGACTGTGCTTTAATTTGTTCAATGCTCCACAATCAAGCCAACTCCAGTTTATTATAGGCAACTCAGGAAGTTAAAACTGATGTTTCACAGAAGCATGGGCACCAGGAAGGAAGTAGTAACAGGGAATATTTAACATGTATCGCATGGCAGTTTGCTATGCAATTCTTCTGACGTGCGAAGCAATTTCAGAAATGTGGTGCAGAAAACTGCGATGCAGGGAATAATTTACTTTCAAATCAAACTTGAATAGCAATTCCAAAATGTTGCGTAGCAATTTTCTTCAACACTTGACAACCGCCCTTGCGGAGAGCTGATCAGAGTGCAAGCTCAGACCACAAGTACACTGTAACACCTTAGTTGCAAACCTAACCTGGTGCCAGGATGCATAGCTCAACGCTTTCGAAGTTTCATGCATCCATTTTATCCCTAAGAGACACACCCTGCATGTACACTGTGCATCATACCGGTAGGGTACAGTGAACAATCCACATGCATCGCAGTCTTCTGCGACACATTTCTGAAGTTGCTTCGCACCTCAGAAGAATTGCGTAGCAAACTGCGATGCGATACTGGTTAAATTAGTCCCTGCGATGCATGTTGATTTTTCACTGTACCCTTGGACGCACAGTATGCATTCCAGGTGTGTCTTTTAGGGATGAAATAAATGCATGAAACTTCGAAAGAGTTGAGCTATGCATCCTGGCACCAGGTTAGGTTTGCAACTAAGGTGTTACAGTGTACTTGTGGTCTGAGCTTGCACTCTGATCAGCTCTGCAGAAAGACAATGCTGTCAAGTGTTAAATCGCTATGCAACATTTTCGAATCGCTATTCAAATTTGATTTTGCGTGGCAAAATTGCTATGCAACAAATTGAAAGTAAATTATTCCCTGAGTACACCGAAAATCTCCTTACAAATATGTGCTTGGCATGTTGTACTTCTGTTTCATATGCAGTCAATTACTTGCTGCATACTCCAATTGTGGCCCGCGCTACTATTAGAGACTGTGCTCTTAATATTTCAAACAACCCTCACCCCGGGTCATTAATTTATCAGAGACTGGGCTATTATTGGAGACCTGGGCTTTTACTAGAGAAAACACGGTATGTACTCTCGGTATTACCAAGAGTAAATAAACTACCAAGAGCGTGAAACTCTGGATACCCTCTCTATGGGGTCCGCCGACGGCGAAAACTCACCCCACATGGGTGTAGTGTTCCCAATGTATTTTCCCAGGCCGTTTTTAGCAACCAGTGGAGTTGAAAAAAGCACTCACTGGGAAAAACCCACTCAGCTTACGCGCGAGTCATCAGCACGATCATGGCCGATATTCGGACTGCGTACGTGCACGCCAGCCTTCGTTGTACGTAGTACATATCGTACGTTGAACACATGACGCGAGTTTTCGCCGTCGGAGACCCTGGATGCAGAGTTGCACACTCTTGGGAGCTTATTTTACTTTAGGTAATACCGTACATGTACTCGTACTACAGTTGCGCTCGCTGAAATCCGACCCAAAGTGCAAAGCTGGCGCCCTGGACCAGTTCCGATTGCTAGTACATCATTGTATGTGCACATGTGTACGCCCAGCCGCATTCATTCCATTTCCAGGGCGTCAAGGGCCGTGGAAGTCGAGGGCGCCAGCTTTGCACGCTGGGTCGGATTTTCAGTGAGCGCAACTGTATGCACACGTGCAGTTGCACACATGTGCACAGATACAACGGCTCCTTCGTTACTGTGAAGTGCTGGGCATAGGCTGTATGAGTAAGAGTACTGCTTTTAAAAACGTCAACATATGCTGCCCCAATAAAATAAACCACATCTCAGCTTGCACGCCCAAACAGTTGGTGCAGACAGTCTCAGTCATTTCCACTGCGTAGGGTATTTTTGAAAATGTAAGTTGTGATCTGCTGGGGTCCACTCCACGTTACGGACAATCTCACCTGTGATCTCCACTAGCATGGCAAAGAGTGTTTCCTGCACAGCATAGTACAGGTACAAGCAGAGATATGGAGAGAGAGAGAGAGTGAGAGAGAGAGAGAGAGAGAGAGAGAGAGAGAGAGAGAGAGAGAGAGAGACAGAGAGAGAGAGAGAGAGAGAGAGAGAGAGAGAGAGAGAGAGAGAGAGAGAGAGAGAGAGAGAGAGAGAGAGAGAGAGAGAGAGAAAGAGAGAGAGATAGATAGATAGAGAGAGAGAGAGAAAATGCAGGTAAGTACTTGTACAAAGGAATAGAAAGGAACTTAGATAAAAGAGAGCGGTGCACGGAAACCGGAATCGAAAATGTCACAGGAGTGTTCTGCAGAACTGTTTGATCACACACCCATGCAGACAGAAAAGGTGTCCATGATTGTTGTCAATATCGATAATTACACTGCCGTGCAAATCTAGTATGACACTTTCAACAGCTTTATTATAAAATATTTCAGTATTTTAGCGGTAGTTAGGTGCAGCCAGTACGAACCCACTGACCAGCATTCTGCCATACATGGACAGGTTGCTGCAGTAAATGGGTGCCAACGTGTACATGTACACTAGTGCAGTTTGCAATATACTGCTGAGGTTGCTGGCTACACACAGCGCCCATGGGTTCCTTCCACATTCGGCAATGCAGGGCAAGTTGGGGTGCTGAATCTAAATCCTTCCGTGATGCCGAGGAGATTACGTACTTCGAACAGGCAAGGCCACTATTGATTGTCCTACGGTAGAATCATAAGAAAATCGGGCAGCGTTCAAGAGAGCTACATACCTACTGGCGCATGGCCAACATCACTAACCTGTATAGAAAAGCAGAGGTCTTCCGGCGTACAGGTGCCATCAGCAATCTTCTCTTCAGCAATGCTCTATACATGGCATGCGAGCATGCACACACATGCATACACACACGCACGCACACATGCACAAACACACACACAGCAATGCACACATTACGTACGCACAATGCACCCATGCACAATTCTGCTGTCACGTTGTTATATAGTGGATGGGTAGAGAGGCTATTGTTTTTTTTTTAAGTGTGTGACCTTTCCGTTCTCTTACTGTGCTTTCATGTGCATTCGTTTATCAAGTCCACACGGTACCTATAATCTCCCCTTCACCCACACACACCGTCTCACAAGAGGTAATCATCAGACAACAGTGAAGGAGATTGGAAGCAGCGCAGGCATTGTACATGTACATGTATATAGCTCAGCAGAGGAGATAGGAGATATACACTGTCTCATTGTGCTCTGCACTATTCGCTAGAATGCCTTGCCGATGCCTGCAGCGCTCCACTGGTTTCTCCTGATGATGCATCTTCACGCGGTCTTGTGCTTCACAAGGTGAGTTCTAACAAAAATCTGATTCTACACGTACTGTGCTAGACGAGCAGTCATGACAGCCATTGCATGGTGCTAGACGAGCAGTCATGACAGCCATTGCATGGTGCACGTGGATTAACGTAGCCTTCATTTGTACAGCGCTGTTAGTCATAATCCATATTTGCCGCCCTGTTCGACTTCAGAGCTCCTAGTGCTCCTTCCCCACGGCCCCACGGCCCCTATCAACCCCGAGCCACCAATCTGGAAGCTGTCTTCCCTGAGTTGCCCCTGCCTCTGGCCTCTGTCTCTACTGTAAAAAGGTACACATGACTGTAGTACACAGGTATTGCCCAGTCCTGGATCAGATCAACTGTAACGGGTGCACATACACACCCAGTGCACACCCAGTCCTGGATCAGATCAACTGTAACGGGTGCACATACACACCCAGTGCACACCCAGTCCTGGATCAGATCAACTGTAACGGGTGCACATACACACCCAGTGCACACCCAGTCCTGGATCAGATCAACTGTAACGGGTGCACATACACACCCAGTGCACACCCAGTCCTGGATCAGATCAACTGTAACGGGTGCACATACACACCCAGTGCACACCCAGTCCTGGATCAGATCAACTGTAACGGGTGCACATACACACCCAGTGCACACCCAGTCCTGGATCAGATCAACTGTAACGGGTGCACATACACACCCAGTGCACACCCAGTCCTGGATCAGATCAACTGTAACGGGTGCACATACACACCCAGTGCACACCCAGTCCTGGATCAGATCAACTGTAACGGGTGCACATACACACCCAGTGCACACCCAGTCCTGGATCAGATCAACTGTAACGGGTGCACATACACACCCAGTGCACACCCAGTCCTGGATCAGATCAACTGTAACGGGTGCACATACACACCCAGTGCACACCCAGTCCTGGATCAGATCAACTGTAACGGGTGCACATACACACCCAGTGCACACCCAGTCCTGGATCAGATCAACTGTAACGGGTGCACATACACACCCAGTGCACACCCAGTCAGACTGTCCCCCACTTATCAGTATTAAATCCTACCTCAATGTAAGATGAGACTCCAGAAAAGGACACGTCCATGCCTTTCACTGTATACGGCAGCTCGATGAATTTCTTTCCCCTGAAATATGACAAAACGCATAGAAACATGGATCAGAGCAAAATTTAAAATAGAACCAAATTAATATAGCAAACTACCACACCCTGAGCAAGACTGTCTCATCGCGCAAGTGTGGAACGTTACCACTAGCCCATCACCCAAGTGATATATGCATCACTGGTTAGTGTGGTGCCCTATCAGAGCAGTACACACAAAAAGTAAAGGGCTCACGATGCCTTTTCTGTCATGCTAGTGTACTATTGTAACGGTGCAACTGCGCTATGTTCGCTCCTAGGAACACGCTCATGACTCTGTGGTGACCAGGGGAGCCAGGCCAGGCTGGTGAGTTTTTGAGGTGCTAGTTTACACTGGAATTTAGGCTATACTTCTTACAATACTTCCGTTTTTGGAGTTGAGAAGTGAAGTTTGCTAAATGAATAATAATCAACTAGAGTATAACCAATTTCAAGAAAACACAGCATCAAACGGACCGCTATCCACTCCCTAACAACCAGCCACAAGCTGGGAACACCAGTGCGAACAGAAGACACGCAGAAACATCAGTCTTTGCACGAAGGTGGAGATCGATGGCTTGTCCACCATTATTTTCCCCCACAGTTTTCCACGCAGCTGCTTCTTCTCCAGACACCCACTAGTCAACAACTACGGGGGAACAAACAGCAGCAGCAGCAGCAGCAACAGAAGTGGCAGCGGTGGTGGCAGTGGCGGCGGCACCAGCAGCAGCAACAGGAGCAGTAGCAAAAACAACAACACGATGATCAAACTCCGCGCTAATCACTCCTTACTTCTTCGCCATCTGTTCGATGTTATAACCGGGACTGGGATCATTGGATATCTGTGCAGGAAAGAAGGCGGCGAAAAGAACAGTGAGTAACAGGTAACACACAAAGCCATAACCTCCCACCCAGCTAGCAACATCTCGAAATAAACACACCCGGATGAAACTGGGAAAAGTGTTAAAAGTCTATACAGCACAGAGCAGGCCATACACAGAGAACCCATGGCAGGAGAACAAAAATCAATGATGTGCCTTATATTCGTCACAGAAAATCAAACAGACTGCCATAATCGGTTACTATTGCTGATCCACAAGGCATCAAGTGTGCACATGAAAATGGCAAACAAATTAGCCCAGCGCATTGGTGTTTGTTGAAACTAGGTTGAACCGTAACTTCACAGCATACCTTGAGCACACGTGCAAACCGGTCCAAGCAGTTACCGATGGCAATGTCAATGGTCTCGCCGAAGATTCTATAGCGCTTGGCCGAGTAGGCAATGACCTGCGTGTTGCCCCCACTGACGTACAGAACAGTGGGATTGCTAGCACCAGTGATGAGACGTCCCATTTCAATGTCTACAGAACAACAGCACAACACCATCAACACCAACAACAACAAGAACACCAGCAGCAGCAGCAAGAACATTGTGAGAATAGGGAGGTTTCGCTCTACGTAATTACGTATGAAAATCCGTATGTCGTACACGCCAGGGAGCGAGGGCAACTTTCATACGTAAATCTCTCTACGGATTTCCGTAGGAAAGCTGTTTCCTACGTTGGGTCCTCCGTAGGACTTTTTGAAATATTTTTTCGCATTTTCCGCATTTGTCCATGGCAACGTTCAAGCCGCGCGAAACACAAGGTACACACACCGTACACCACGTGCAAAATATAATGGAAAACGCGGTTTCGGTTCATGGTGCATGCGGTGGGCGCATGCAGCCACCGCGTCTCCAAAGCAACAACGCATGTTTAGCAGTTGTGGGGAAATCACGTAGAGCGAAACCCAACAGCTCTGAGTTTTACGTATGAAAATTCCGTGCAGTTCCTACGTTATTTTCATACGTAATTCCGTAGAGCGAAACCTCCCTAATAAAGAGTTCTAACAAACAACAACAACACAGCAACAACAACAACAACAACAACAACAACAACAACAACAACAACAACAACAACAACAACAACAACAACAACAACAACAGCAGCAGCAGCAGCAGCAGCAGCAACAACAACAACATGTTGGCCACAGGACATTGTGAGAAAAAAGATTTGAAACATGCACTAGCGACGTACCTAAGGGAGGAAGGGAGGGGGCGGCACCGGTTGTTCAGAATCTCCCTTGGAGATGCCGATGTTGATTTCTTTATAAAGTGGAATGTTTGCACTCCAGATGGTTCATACAGATTGAGGTTCATAGTAACTTTATGCCCTAAAACCTGCATCCATATGCTCAAAACCTTCATCCGTATGCCAAAAAAAACTTGCGCCCGTACGCCAACATTTTTTGCGTCCATACGCCAAAAAAATTGCGAAATGGGATTCATTTCGTAACTTACGACCAATGCAGTGGTTGACAGCCACGATAGGCTTTCCCCAGAGCTGGGCAACGGTACGTGCGACCACAGCAACAGAGACGAGTGGCGCGCCCATACCAGGTCCTACAAAATCACAAACACACACACACACACACACACACACACGTGCACGCACGCACGCGCGCGCACATACACACACAATGGGAGTGCTTGATTACACATTCCGGACTCAAGCTTGAAAAATCCCTAACGACCAGAAACGAGTGTATTGCGGCCATGTCAAAAGGGATAACTGATTTTAGCCATGAATTCTAGTCATGATCTACTCAAGTGCGACTCTTTGCACAAGTTTATCTGCATACATGCAAAAGACGCACAGGGGGTCGAGCAGGCATACGCTGATGTGAAATTTGGGATGGGACATTTACAAGTAGAAATTCTGCCTTCATATTGGAATCAGATGAGTTGGATTCCAATGATTCTGACGATGAAATATATCATTAGATATGTAACCGAACGACAATCAAACACGCCCATTCACCCCTTGTATGTTCTGTATGTTGGAGCTAATGTGCCCCCCCCCCCCCCCCCCAACACACACACATACCAGGTGCCATGCACTATGTACTCACGTTGCAAGACATAGACACACACTGATCTTGAAGACATGGCTTGTGACAATTTATTACAAAGTCTACAATAGATCACGAAACCACTCCCAAAAAGCACTCAGAACGTTACACACTAGGTCGCAGTAGGCGCTGCTGGATCAGAATAACCTTTGGATTGCACAGCAGTTGAATTCTCTTACCTTTTGTGTAGCATACACAGTCAATCTCCTGTGGGCTAATACCACTTTCCTTTAGCGATCTGCCAACAACATGGCACGCAAGCATGCCCGCGTGCACGCACACACACACACGTACACACACACACACACACACACACACACACACACACGTACACACACACACACACACTCACACAAATACACACGCACGTGCACACATGTACGTACACACACACACACATGCACCTATCAGTCCAGTGCATTCGGACCGCCATTCGTAACATCAAGGAAGACAGAATCACTGACAGCTATGGGAAATGGAGCCTAGACTAGGCTACAGAGGGATGTTGCCTGAACCAACCTAGGTACATGTATCAGGATAATCAAAACTTCTAGAACACGTTCTCACTATACCCTAAAACTACCGTGAATAACACGTACTCATCCAACACAGTAAGGATGTTGGCCTGGTGATGTTTGGCTGTATCACGAGGAAGGAACCCTGGGATAACATGAAAATCCGCCCACACCACACACGCACGCACGCGCACACACACACAGAAACAACCACACACATGCACAACTATAACATGCAGTCTATGAACAGTACAGTTTTGTTTTTTGCGACTACCGTATTTTCCGGAGTATAAGGCGCACTGGAGTAACCGCATCCAGATTTTTTAGTCACGAAATACCTGTAAGGCTGTATTTCGAGACAAAAACAGTACACTGTATTTCACTGTTCATTTGACCATCATAGTATAAGCCTGCCACGTCGACTTTTTGGTGTGAATTACAAAGTGCGGCTTTAATATACTCCGGAAAACACGGTAGCTCAGTTAAAATGAAGCGGGCACATGCACATGCCATTGTCCTAGTACAGTGTACCATACTTTCTGGCGTATACGCCGAACTGCAATTTCTGAAGAAAAGGGCAAAGAAATCCTCTATGCGGTTTCTATCTCTAACATATTTTCTAGTCGAATACTAACTGGAAAGTGAGGTTTCGCATCCAACTGTGCAGTAATTCATGTACAGTGCTGCTCACCAAAATCCGAGCGCATGAGTCAAGTTTACGCCTTGCACCATTTCACAGCCTGGTGTTCGCCGGTCTAGGGCTGCACAACGCCCGGCGCATACTTGGGTAACTCGACCGGGTTTCATTGCGCAGTACTGTAGTTTCATGGAGTGAAGCACCAAGCTGCAGCTACGCAATCACTTGCCGGTGTGTTCGTCTGATGCGTGCAAACATGATACAGTCCTGCTCAATGAAATCCAGTCGCGCCGCTCAAGCTTGCGCCTTGCAACATGTTGCAGCCCAGCGTCCGTAGGTCTAGGTCTGCGCAATGCCCGGCGCGTACTTGAGGGACGCGACTGGATTTCATTGAGCAGGACTGTACATGTTCCTGAGCCAATATTATCAGACAGGGTAGTAGGCAGTAGGGCCTTCTTTCTTCTACTACGTGCATGGCCTCATAGTCAGGCTAGTGCTTCTTCATGACCTACATTGTACATGAAATGCATTCGTGACCTGGAAGTAACCGTCTACTTCAGATCAAGGAACATAAGTGTCCATTGGGATTGGGATAACAGGGAAAGGTCCTCCACTGTCGTCAATTGTACCAAATCAGGCTGAATCTGAAATCATATTTCTGCCTGCTATAATAATTATTGTTTCAGGGACTCTTTTCAATTTCTAAACAGGTGGCCGAAATCATACCTTCGCCTGGTGGTGTGATGTACGTTCTTCTGACATTCGATAGGACCTCTCCATCTCGGATGATACCAATACCAAGTTTATTGGCACTACCTTCGAAGCCAATCGCGATCACCATGTTTGTTCAGGTGCACGCAAGCAATTCCTTCTTCTCAGCAAAATGTCTTGCCAGTCATACAGTACAGCTACACAGGTGAATTACAACAAATAAAATTAATTTTGAATTCTGTTGTTCATCTCGTAGCATAGCAGTACGAGTAGTATTATCTACCCAAAAATTAAATTATTTGAGGTGAGTGTGTGAAGCCGCGGGCCACAATCCGAGTGAGTCGAACACGCTTTTTCAAATACATGTACAGTGTAAATAGGTTCTAAGAGTTTATGTACTCTTGCCTCTTGGTTCCACGTTTTTGAATTTGCAATGTAAGTAGACTCTCTGCACTTGACGACCCCACTACCACCAATTCACCTCCACAACCATGACACTTCATAGCGGTTGCCGATGCCTGAACACACAAACTACAGACCAGAGCGATGAGCGACAGCCCCGGATAATTACTTATGGGTCTTTCCCATACAAGTCGTGACGTGCCCGCAGCTGTTGAGACTGAGTAGGCGCATACACAATGACCAGAACATATTTTCATCTAGACCAAAGCCCATATACGCCTGCACGAATGCATGGTCTGGCCCCAGCATATGTAACTAGGCAATTGCAGTTGACCAGGGAGTAGCACGATACAATGATACATGCGCTTTAAAAAAACGAGATTTGTGTGCTTCATAACAGGATGCAACATACACACCTACTTGCGCTGAAAAATCAGTCGCTATAATGGCGAATATAGCATCATCGTTCAAACAAACCATTATAACACGTTCAAAATAAGCTTCGTGCAATGTAGTAAAAATCAAGAGCACATGGTTATGTACGCCTGTAGTCTTGGTACAATGCAGCATTTCCATTCTTCAACAGGCCAGAAAATCCAATCATATAATGTTAATGTGTTCAGCAGATAGAAGGCAACAGCAAACATGCAAACGGCGTTCAGCATATCTTAACTCTAGATATACCAGATACCAGATTCTAAAATGATAAAAAAATGAAACAGATGGAAAATGTCAGCACAGCCCACACAGAAAAATCCTCAAGACATCCACACAAGGAAGCAAATAAAAACAAATAAAAAACACAACAGCCGCACCAGAGAAGTTAATTGTCCCGTGTATGCAGATAGGATGTTCACAGATCAAACCTGCGCTCCCTTCGGCTCATCTCCACATACTCAAAGTCCTTGCCACGCCCTCTCCGATGGCGCCGGCTCTCTCTCCAGTCATCATCATCATCGTCGTCATCATCATCGTCATCGTCGTCATCGTAGTCATGTTTACGAAAGGACTTCCACTCATTATCACGCCGGTTGCCTGGACGATCAAGCTCCTCGCCTCGACTTCTCAGTATGGACTCTCTATTCTCGACACGTCCTGCATGAAGATCTCCAAATGCCTTGCGAGTGACACGGCACATTGATTTCAGATTGCAGCTCTTCATTGGGAAAAGCTTTCGCAGGCGATCAAAACGACAGGAGCCATCTGGTGAGGACATGCAGCCCGGGATGGGTACTTCGCGCTCGTTCAGGAGCAGCTTGACGCTGAACAGTGGGAATACATCGGATTTCGGATCAACACCTACACCCTGTGGACACTGGTAGAGCAGAAAGCCGACGTTACCAGCAAAAGGAGCGATGTCACTGCCACGGAAAAGCCTGTTCCTCATGCGAAGGAAGTTATCTGCCCGCAGCGGTTCTGAGTCATGAAATAGACCCATATAACACAGGAGTGGTATGATGGTTTCAGCATGTCCGAATCTAGCCACAAGGAAAGGAGAAGATACAAAACAAACAAACCAGTGAAGTCGCCGTATTCCGCAAAGAACAAGAATGCAATGCTGCCGGGCAATGAAATATACTGCCTGGTGTCCGACTAGAGCTGCCACTTTCCAGCAGCTATTATGCAACAATGAGGTGAAATACACTGGGGTCATGAATGCTCAGTTCACGTGCTGCCTGTTTACGAGTCCGCCTATCATTGTCCGTCAGTGGCTATGGTTCCGACTACACCCACTACAAAACTCTTCCCATGCATTGCCGAGTGCCTTACCGGAACACAGAGCGTGGCTCTTGGCGTGGCTTGCCATCATCCAGGCGTCCCACAGCAGCTTTGATGGTGTCTTCCATTGTCTCCAAGACGGTAGACATCAGTGGGCACGCAATCTGCCAGTTGATCTCGTGGCCGTATCCATTCTTGTAGAATTTCTTCAGGTCCATGGTGTACTCCAAAACCTCTCCGTCTTCGCCCGTGAATGCACCTGACCACCTACTATTGTTCTGCACCGCCACTTCAAACGCAAAGACTTTGTACATGGACAAAACAGTACTGGTGCTAAGTTGACGGTTAGCTGGCAGGCCAAGGCGGTCTGAAACGCGCCGAGCCACCTCCTTCATTTCCGGACCGCTCATAAACAGCGTGTATTCCTCGAATGCAGCTGGGTTCTTCTTCACCAATTTCTTGTACAATGGACACATATCATAGAAGCGCATCAGAGGATCATGCTCCAGATCCCGAGAGCTGATGGCCACTGGCTGATAGTGAGATTTCCCCAGTGAACCGGAGTCCTCGAAGAGTCCGAATGCAAACGAGTTCGCACTCTGTAAGCATCTTGGCTTGCCTGAGCTCATCATGGTGAAGTTTACTGGTGAGTAATACTGGCTGCCTATTAGTGTAGGGAGACGGCTCAAGAAACGCTTTGCAATGTCATAATGCTCCTGTTGGCCTCGAACGGCCAATTGACCGGATTCACTGGGCAAGAAAGGATTAGTCCAGGAGCGCACCCATGCTAATGGTCCTGTGCTAGGCAGGAAATTCTCCAGTGAGGCTAGCTTCGCCTCCAGCTCCCCGAAATCGTCTGATGATGATGTCGGGTATCTTGTTCCATGTCGAGCAACCAAATCTAGATGCACTGCAACACAGTTGTCGTCATTCACCTCCAACGAGCTGGTTGGCGCATCCTTGCTGGAATAAGCTTGTTTTGTGCTGAACGTCGCCAAGACGGGGTGCACATTGCCATAGCATAAAACTGCGGCCAAGCACTGTATCAAGACTGAGAAAACTGGATGTGGCAGCATCTTTTCAATGCCAATCATTCACGAAGTGAGCATAAGCCTGGGCGCTTTCAGCAACAGCTAATCATGCATAATCATGTAATGGAACGCCTCCTAAACCATGCAAGGCCTCAAACTAAATAATTGCTTGCATCTATCGGGCCCGGGAGTCACAACGATGAGAACTTAGGGAGCATCTCATAAGTTCGCATTTTGTTTCTAAACGTAACGCATTTCGAAACGGGGGTAGGGGGTAGCGCCCTTTTCGAATAGAAAGATGACTGTTCGCACATTTTCTGGAACTGTACAATCTACTACCTTGCTAGATCCCTGCAGCAAATGAGTGTGTTTAGGTTGAGATCTACCTGTGTTTGCAGATCAGCTAACCCTTGCACTGCATGCATGCAGGCTACTCAGAGGTGTCAAATGTCACACCAGCCTGATCAAACCATGTACCTGGCCAGGGTTTACAGCAGTACAGTTGTTATGTTGTGGAGGAACTATGTTTATGTGCGTGTACCTGTCATTGATTGTACTTGTACTCAGTAAATGCAGTACTACTGTATGCCATTCACGACCGCTCTAGCAAAACATTCATATCCATGTACATGTACATGACTGTACAATCATGTACATAAGCATACCATAGTATGGGGCATGGACGTGTACAGTAGATAAACACAGAAAATGTGCGATAAGACTTTCGAATAGAGGGGGGAGGTAGGGGGGTAAAGTCTATTCGAAATGCGTTACGTTTGCAAAATAAATGCGAACTTATGAGATGCTCCCTTACTACTTCGAAGTACAATTACAAAAAGTAGAAGACTGTAGCTTGTAGATCATGAGTCATGAGCTGATGATGATGCAACGAATCGCAAAAAAATCTTTTTGTTGTACTTTTAAAAATTAAATGTAACCTTAATTATGTACGTACAAAGAAAATTTAAAAAAATAGTAGGCTTGTAGACGCCATATTCTGTTACCATGGAACTGCATTCCCAAGAGCCGGGCCGGTGGCATGACCACGGTCCACAACCTCTTGCTACTACCAGGGAGTAGTACCGGTATTGTACTACTCCCTGCTAATACTATGCTTGATCATTGATGACTGTGATAAGAACAGTTCCATCTTCATTCTTCACTCACATAACATCAGTCAGACCACAACTTAAAGGGGAAGTCCGGTGAAAAATTCAAATTTCACAGTCCGTAGAGTTCGAGTCGCTGAGTCGAATGGTCTTTGTCCGAGGAGGCTGCGGCTTATGGTTCGTCAGATACGCCCAATCGAACATGTGCGAATTTGAGCGCGCATCACCCAGATCCAGGTGATGACGTCACAGCGTGCAGCCAGGTAGCCACACCATCTAGTTGTGTACAAAATGGCCGTATTCGGAGCGCGTTCGATTGGGGAACTGTTTGTCGCAGCTTCTTCGGACCAAGACCATTCGATTCAGTGTTACAAACACTACATACCCTGTGATTTTCAGCTCGGTAAACCTCGAGGTTATACCATATTTTAGCCGTTTCCGAGTTGGACTTTTTCCGTCAGCCTCTACGCGCTGTACGCTGCGTGCATGCAGTGCGTGCAGTGTGTTATCTAGCTGTGGTGCAGTCAACAAACTCATCACAGACGGAACTACTCCCGCACTGCCGTGCTGGGGTAGTATCTACAACAAGACTCGAGTCACAACTCACTGACACAAGACTCAGAAAACTAGTCAACACACGGACTTGTCATGTACTACACTCGTATCAGTCGTATTGTACAGTCATGTACTGTAGTCAGAGAACGGGCGTTTCTCCTTGCCGGTGCCGGTGATTGTGCTTTGAGAAAGAAAATTTTAGTTTTCCGCTCCTGCCTCATTATTTTATGCTACAGCGATGAGTGCACAACCGTGACAAGTGACAAAACAGGGAACAGCTCCCGGACCTAGAACTGTCCGATTCCATAGCGTTGCGAGCGAAGAGTCGTGCCCGTGGTTCAAAGAGCCTGCACTGTTCTCCAAATGAGTAGTCCGAAATATTCCAAGTTCGCACCAAAACATCACCATGTGGCAGGCCACTGGAGTCTAAGCGAATCTAATCGGTATGGAACAACATTTAGAGCACTCGCATCACTCTTCTCCATTTTGGCGACCCTGCTCTCCAGCGATCTGATAATTCATCAGCCTCGTCTGCAATAGCTGCTGCTTCTTCATCAGTCGGAAACTCAGTAACGCTCACTCTTGACGGGCCCGCGCGGCCATTTCTTCAGCTGAATACCGAGGTTCTCAGCCCCAGACCGAACTCATGAAGGTCAGCCATGGCTGCATCCTCACTCTCACAAGGAGTTACAGGTCTTCGGGGTCGCTTGCACCACCTAATATCAGTCGCCAAATCATTTTGAAATAGCACTGACACTATTGCTTTCACGCACTCCTTTTGACCTAGCTGCACGCTATGACGTTGCAGAGGGTGTGGCGCGGCCGCATGACGTCATGGCGCAGCCCCCGAAACTCAGTTTTTCAAACGGAAATATCTCGAGAACGCTTTGTCGGAGACACGTGGGACCAACACCATTCGACTCAGCGCCCGAAACTCTACCAACCCTGAAATTTAAATTTTTCACCGGACTTCCCCTTTAACTGGCACAAGTCCAGAAGTGCATCATCAGTGATCATGGTGATGGATCGTTCATTACTGCCGGGTCCGGGTTCGTGTACAGGGCGGGTCAACAACCATGGTACATATAACACGGCAATGAAATTGCAAAGTACCCACCACTAAAAAAAAAAGTAAACTATCATGTCCGTTCCCAAAGGGACGGCCGCTAACACCCGATATATAAAACCCTACCCACCACTACAAACATCAAGGAGAGTTGAGGCAGGGTCACCAATGCGAGAGCTCCGTGGGCTCCATTTACACAATACAGTACTGTATTTCCCGATTCTACACAGCCACACCAAGAGTAGTACTGTACATGAAACCTACAGTATATACTGGAATCTACTCTTGGTCGCACCCCCGTGTTCAGGTCACTGTGACGTCCCAATCACAGTGTACTCGCATGAGTTATAAAAAGTATTTGACGACTTTGATCGAGTCACACTCGATCACAAATCTTTGACCTTGGGGGTTTAGCATAGAAAGGTGCGACATTATCGGGTAGTGACAACAGACTGCCTACAGACAGTAGTACTCTTGGTTGCAATATCGGTATGCTTGAGTATGCAATATGCTTGAAACGCATGTACCAGCTGCAGATGTAGCAAACTGTACACACACACACACACACATGCACACACGCACGCATGCACACACACCATGTACACACACACACACACACACACACACACACACACACACACACACACACACACACACACACACACACACACACCATGTACCATGTACAGTCAGTTTCGCTAATAACGACTGCGGATATAACGACAATTCGTGAATAAAAACAGAATTTCCATGCCCAGAGCAAAGTCCCATCTACTGTAGAGGCAGAAAATTTCGTCGGTCAATAATTTCGTCCAACTCCAAAGAAAAGGAGTTCGTCCGGTTGAAAATTTCGTCCATGGATCATAAGAGTGTATAGAAACGCTGGACAGATCGATATTCGTCCTACATTTAATTTAGTCCAAAAGCTCCTTGGACGAAATAGACGAATATTTCTGCTTATACAGTAACTGTAATACATAACACGAGACTTCGGGTATAAGGACACTTTTCTGATGCCCCGCCGAGTGTCGTTATACGCAAAGTTGACTGTATACACACACGCTGACACACACACACACACACATACACGCACAGCCATCGCATGTACACAATGGAGTGTGGGTGCAACCATCATTATCACACACACACACACACACACACACGCATGCACGCACGCAACCATCACATGCACAATGGAGTGTGGATGGCGCTGGGTTTGGTGACATACATTCTTTCATCAGCCTACACAATTGGCAGAGGGCTGCAATCAGTTGAGTAGAAAAATCCATAAAGATAAAAACCAAGGTGTCCGACGACATGCCATGGTTTGTCTATACACGTGCATAATGCTACAAGAGATCAAAAAAAGGGTCCAAGAAAGATCCAAGTAGGAAGGCATATCGGTGGAGGGAAGTGGTTAAGAAAAGTTGAAGATTCAAGAGGAAAGCAAGGTGGCTCGCCAGCAGAAGAAAAAGAAGGGAAAAAAGCGGAACCATGCCTTCACATTGGATGAATATGTACAGAAGAAAAAGAAAAAAAACGCTAGCAAAACGATCATAATTCTGCAGGCATAACCAGTCTGCGGCCGTGGTCATTGTTAAAGTAAATACCAGCTACTAGTTATCTTGGGCACGAAATCATTATGAGTGTGGGTCAAAATTGGAAGAACGCCCCCGGGCATGCAAGAATGCAGATTGTAAAAAAATTCTGAAAAATAAAGAAGGCGAACATCACATTCAATCAGCAGTCAAGCCTCAAGGGCTAAATCTAAGCTAGAACATTTCAAAACATAAATATAAAATCTGGCAAATAAGCACGCGCCAGGTCAACACAGTCGTGACAACAACTACAAGCATCGCAAAATAGACTAGTGAAAATACGGCCATGTTCTGCCACATTCGCTTCCAAACAAAGGAAATACCTACAAAAATTTAATGGCAAACTATGTCTAGTGACCGTGGCAGCAGCAGCAGCAGCAGCAGAGATAGCAACAGCAACAACAGAGATAGCAACAGCAACAACAGTGGCGACAGTGAGTTTCTTTTTTTATTATACAAATGACCGCTTGCCAGAGAAGACATCCTTGTCGTCACCGAACTGGGCAGAATCACTCTCACCATCGCCAGAATTGCCCTCAAGTACACCAACAAGACCTTCATCACTGGCAGCACAGGGGACAGGTTCATAAACCACAGTTGGTGTTGAGCTGCGGCGGATGTCAAGTGACCTCGAGCGCATATAGTCATCGCCAGTAATCGAGGCAGCATGCGAGCGTCGTGGCCGACCAGCCTCTTCATTGCACAGCGCATCATAAGCCTGCTTCTGGTCAACACTGAGTTGCTCTAGCTCCTGTGTTTGTTGGTCTTCGAGGGTTTTCATGTCCTCCTCGTGCTCACGGCCGAGGGTCTGGATGCGGGAGACAACAGCTGCGACGGTTACTCTCCTTTGCCAGCCACGATCACCGCCTTCACCACCAGCAGCAGCAGCCGGGTCTGCACTGGACACCATGCTTTCCCGCGCCTCCTTTAGCTCACGCTCGTAGAGAGCCTTGCGCTCCGTGCGATGCGTGGCCTGGATTTGCTTCATGACCTTGATCATGACACGCTCCTCCTCCATAGCAAAACGCTTTCGCACTTTGTTCTGCTCAGCTTTGTGCTTGAGCTGCAACTCGGCCTGGGTGTTGGCAAACGCCGATGTGTACTGCTGCACCTCAGCTTCATTGGCCTTACGCAGCTTTGCGATCTCATCGTCGTAGTGTGCTGAAGTAAACTGCGGATCGGTCTTCGTTTTCTTCAGAGCCTTCTCCTTGGCTGCCAGCAGAGAGGTGGTTTTGCGGTCCAGCTTCTTGGCGAGCTGAAGCAGGCTGTCGTCTTTGTGCTTTTGCTTGGAGACCAGTTCCTGACGGTGCTTCTTATCTACATCTTGTGACTCCTTGGTCTGCTTACGCTGGAACTTGACATAGTCTCGGTGACTGCGGATCATTTCAACCTGGACGGTGGGTAGTGGCGGACGGGCAGGACCGGCAGCTGCCGACTGACCTGTGTCATGGTTGGACCTGGTGCGTGGCAAAGTCAAACCAGTGGTGTCGTCCGTGATCGGTCCTTGAGAACCCCGATTGCTACTAGACTTCACGGCAGCATGAAGCATGGCTGCATGGCCAATTGCCTTAAACCGTGTTAAACCAGGTGATGGAGGACCAGTTCCAGTTGTCCCGAGCGAAGGCGGAGAGCGGGGTCTCGATTCAGAATCAATGATGATGGAGGGGTCATCGGGCTGCTCGTCAGTGGCGTTGAGGTCGTTTAGAGCATCCTGCCGCTGCTTGTCCAGGAATGTGAGAGGATCAACAAGAGCGTCGACCCACATGGCATGTGCTTCCGACACAAAGTCGTGCACATGTATGTGCACGAAGAGCGACGCAAGGCCGGCCGGCTTGCCAAGGCGGTTCAGCAGCGGAATGTGTCGATACCCAGGCTGGATGAGGTGCACAGGTAAGAAGCGAACACCGAGCAGCATGCCGCGGTCGTCCACGGTAGCCAGCCGGATGGTGGCCATCTCTGGAACGATGATACGGCGCTTCTTGATGATTTCGTGCTCCCAGCGTGGATTGATGACGTTGTTATCACGGCATGGCTTGGTTTTCAGCTTGCGCAGGCACACGTCTGGTGGCACACCGATGATATCGACCTCCACCGACACTGCACATTTTCTCTTGCACACGTACTGGCCAGAAATGATCTCCAGCGAGAGCTCGTGAGGTATGATACCGTTATGGACAGAGCCGAACGGGTCGAACCTCATCGACGCTGTCGTGAAACACTTGGGCTTGAGCAGATAGCCACAGTTACCGTTCAGCGCAAAGCGCCCGATGTTGAGCTGCATTGGGCTGTCGGTGGTTTGATAGTTGAGAGCTACCATCTGCGCGCCGCAGTTCCAAAAGGCTTGCGGCTGGTAATTACTGGACTCGACGCGTTTTCCACGGGGATAGATCCGACACATCTGGTTGATGTTGTACTGGACGAACTCAACGGGGTTGTCACGCACCAAGCCAAGGCCACGGTCTTCAGAGAAAGAGGACATCTCAAAGTTCATGCCTCGCTCCATACCCTCGTAGAAGGACTTGAACTGCACGGGTTGGACATAGTTAACGATAGCTGACAATTCCATGTTGACAACTGCCACGTCCTTCACAGCTGCACCTGTGCTCATATCCTGAACGCTTGCATCCGGGTCGTCAGTCGTGGCATCCGCATTGCCGTCATCCTCCTTCTTGGCCTCGCCATCTTCATCGTCATCAACGGCCTCTGTCGATTGCTGCTCAGTCTCCACTAACGCTTGCTTCTTGGCCTCTGGTGGTGGGGCTGTTCGCTTCTTGTTCTTAATGAGAATCTTGCGCTTGAGCAATGACGGCGGTGGAAGCTGTGTGCCTTTCTCCAGTGCGTAGCCAGAAAGGGGATCAGCCAACAGCAGGTCGCCAAAAATTTCGCGACAGTAGCGAGCCATTTTCTCCTGCAGAATGTTCGTGGTGCAGTGGTTCTCAAACGACAGTATGACCGGGTAGTCGGACGCGATGAATGCCGTCTCGGCAATGGCTTGAATGCAATCTCTGTACGGCGTCTTGGTGCACATGGTCATGCCGTGTGTGATGTACGGTTCAGGCTCTCCACTCTCATTCTCCCCGGGCCAGCAGTCCAGCTCCAGGCACCGGCAGCCGGCCAGCAACGCCAGGCGGTACATCTGCGGCGACGAGATTGACTTCAGCTGATGACCGGACAGGTAGGTGTTGTGCGAGCTGTTGATGAAGTAGTGGCCCAGCGGCTGGTTCATGTCGTCCGTCTGCTGGTACCACGTGCTCTCCACCACCAGGTTATCGTCGCTCAGCAAGAAGTGTGTCAGGCTGTCCACGGACATCTTGTTCTGCTTTTTCTGCTTGCCAATGGCATGCTTGCGCATGAGCGCGTCCGTCTCCGCACGGCTCTGTTTCGGGAACAGGATGAAGTTGCGGCGAGGGTCGTAGTGGAACTTCTCGTCAGTCAACAGGTCATAGAAGTTGTCACCAGACAAGCACATATCCTGCACTTTACCACGGGCTACAGAGCGCATCACATCCACCATCTCTACACGAGTGCACAAGTGAGAGTACAGCGCATAGAACTGGTCAAATGGTAAGTCAGCCTTCTTAACTCCTGACGTTCCATTCTTCGGCTTCAGCTTGAGTGCTTCCAGTGAGAACAGCACCTTCTCGTCTTGGCCCTCACAAAAGAGACTAGCTAGGTCACGCACAGAGATCTCACTCTTGTTGGCGTGAGACAGCATGAGGTACGAATAGTTCTTCCGCAGCAACGTCAGTACACTAGGACTGGCATGTAGCGGATCACATGATAAATGCAAAATATCCTTCTGCAGTGTTCGTGCATCCTCTCTCGAGTACAGAATCAAGTAGATGTCCTGCAGGTCAGCAGTGGATAAGCGCTGCCTGTTGGTGACTAAGCTGAGACACACGATGCGCTCTTCCAGTGGAATGTGTGGCTCTGTGGGGGACATACTCTTGACATTGCCCTCAACACGAACATTGTCTTTGGGATTACCACTGGGCAAGACGCCAATACGAACATCGGCAATCTTGTGCACCTCGATTAGTTCACATGACTCTTCATAGTACAGATAGAAACCTTCTTCGTCGGCGAGTAGGTTACTGGGCTGAATGGGTGCCCCATCGTCAGTAACACTTTCCCATTTCACAACTTGAATACCACCCCTAAGCCTTTCGGAAGGACGACGACGTTCTGCAGCTCTGCCGGCGTTTGGTCCATACGCGTTGGCCATGGACAACTGCCAAAGAACCAGGGCCTTAGATATCGACCTCACAAATCAGTCCTTTGTCCTGAGTGGGCCATAAATTGCACGCAGAGCACAGATCCAACAAATTCTGCGACCCAGCCGGATGTGCAACAACACTACTCAAGTGGCGGCCGCATCCAAGAACAGCGGCCAACTCCATGGGCCGACCATTACGCGCCTTGTTATTGTGGTTGTTGACAGTTCACAAGAGTTGTCCACTGGCAGAGCTGAATGACAGCCAACACAGTCGACGACAGGAACGAGACAATACTGGCCTGGCAAGACAAAGCCGTCCGGCCATGCACCAATCAAATAAAACTGGAAATGACTGAGAATGCAAAAATCACGGAGACTGATCATGCTGCTCGAGTTGTACGGCCATGTCGATTATGTTGTACGTCAATCACATTTTCAGTTCATCAGTTTACGTTTATCATTACATCAAGAGTATGCTTTTCGCATTGCTGAAAAATGGCAGAATTATGCTGTTATTATGCTAAAAGGATCAAGCAAGAGCATGTGTCGCAAAAAAGTTATCGTGAGTTTGATCTGGCACCAGCTCAGTGAAGTGAAGACAACATACCTGTACACATACACACTTCTCTTGACCATACCGCAAGATCAAGAAAAGTACATGGGGTTATGTACAGTGCGTATCGGTTATAGTGTGGTCGTATACAAGAATATACTGCGTACAAGAATGAACACTCATTTTTTCATAATCATAACACCTAATTTATGTGTATATTTATTCTTACAAGCAGTATTATCGCATAGTAGAATATATCGGCCCTAAGAATGGATTTTGTGTAGCAAAATATGCCAGATTAGTGCAAAATGTATCGCCTGTAGTAATAACATCTGTGCTCTGTGCATGCTCAATACAATCATATTCAACACAAAAAGAGATTTACGTCCAACTGAGCATTGGAGAATCACTTTTTCTGTCCAGTCGGACTCTTTCTTCCGACTTCTCTCCTATCTGCTGCTCCGCAGTCGCCTAGCGAGTCTGATCCGTGTGTATCATGATTGTGTAGACCTACATGATTGTACATGTCCACATGCCAAACAATGTATTATGTCACACGTGCATATGATATGTCACACGTGATTTATCGTGTGTAAGAAATATCGGCAATAAGAATCAAATGTCGTTTTTCAAACACCCACGCTATAACCGATACCTACTGTACTCTTGTTGATAGATAACCAGGGCAGGGAGCTGGAGTGCTGCTTTCACTTTTTCAGTGTGTCCTCCTTTAAAAAGTTTAATAGCTCCTATCCGCGTTGTGATCATCATCATGCCATTCATGGTTATTCCCTGCAGGGCCTACAAGTAGGGAGTAGATTCTACGCCTCGAGTCCATACAATCATAATAATGTTTTGTATTGAATTAACATTTGTAGTAAAAATAACAAAATGTACTGGGCCCTAGCCTGGACTCAGCTAAAGGCTTTACATACCAGTGCAAAGTACATAGCACTTATTTGTACATTATTTTGTAGTGCAAAGCAGGGAGGCAATTAATATGAGGCTGCAAGTGGGGGAGCTGGAGCTGGCTTGGGAGCCCAACCGTGACATACCGGTATGTGTAGCCTACTGTAGGGCTCCCTGGATATGGAGTCCCTGCACATGGCCCATATATGGGCAGTTATGTCTACGGCTCATGTCACGTGCCAGCGCAGTGGAGCAAAAATGTGTATTTTGACCATAATAATCATGTGTGTTTATCAGGGCCTAGGGAGTCGTCAAAATGGTATTTGACGACTCCCTGGTGTTTATGCATGACATCCTCAGCATGCATGCAAGGTTCTCTTTGATCAGAAAAGCACACTTGCTTTTACAAACACATGTACCGTTTGCCCCTACGCTCCACCACATTGATAGTTCCAAATGGAGCATTCGGCCTGCGCCTTCGACTAGAATTATTATACTATAATCTCCCAAGTTGGCTGTTGCTTCTTTTTGCTATTCCTGGGCGGCAGATATCCATGCTTTTCATATCACTATTTACAGTGTGTTTTTGTGCATGACATCAAGATCAAAAGTACCAGTAAACAGTTTTTTTGTTTGTTTATGGAGTCTTTATGACGTGTTGAGATAGCCCGGCATTGTAATAATTATGGTCCAGATACTAGTACATGAACTGCACGAACGTTTTCACTCATTGTGAACCAGTACATGAAACTGAAAGATCAAAATTCGCACGCAACGAAAGTTTCTCGCTCTGCATGCCGCTTATAACCACGTACATGTAGAGTGCATCCGCCTGAAGCATGCACACGCAAACACACACACACGGTGGCTTTTGTTTCCTTTTGCTGTTGTCATACTAGCAACAGTAGTCATATTGGTCAAGATGATGAAGCGCCAGTCTTGTGTAAATGACGTCAACACAGAGAGCAGGAAACGTCAGACATGGACTAACACGATGCAGCAAACTCTTCCCTAAGATCAACGAGTGAAATGCAACATGCCAGGAGAAAATGTTATGACAGCCAGCAACAACAGAAATAATAATGGACTACGTAGGACAGAACAAAGAACGCAACTGCAACTGTACACGGAAGGAAAAAATAGTTGGAGATGTTTAAAAAATCTATGAACTTGCAGGGATGGGTGGAGTTACAGACAGCTGACTGGCTAAACATGGCACGGTACAACTGAAAGTCCAAGAAACTACTCCACGCAACAAGTAAAATGTCAATGGCACACATAATCACACTACAAAGCGCAATTATAAAAATAGCGTGAGATGTGCCTTGGAGTTCGCAAATAGATCTAGGTAGTCTGATCACACTTTGTTCGTTAATTTCACAACCAGATCCACCAAGTCAAAGCCCGAGAAAAGAAATGTACAAAGTACAACATTGGTCTCATTCGGGGCGTAGTAGCGGCAGCAGCAAAAGCTGCCAATTAATTTGTGGGTGCTGTACATCGGTGCCAGTGACACGGCAACGTCACGACGGAAAGAGGAAGACCGATTAAGTACGTGACCACACAGAAGAGTGAGGAGCACAGCAGACGGACGAGCAAATATTAACTGTTGACGCTGTTCCCACCATGGCCAGATGTGCCGGCAAAGGTTGCCGGTGGCGATACAGCAGCTACAGCGGCCACTGACGATGCTGCTTGTCTCGCAGCCTCTTTCACAACAGGATCTGCCATGCACAAAACACGAGAAAAAAATGGCATAATGTTCGCCTGGCCAAGATGGAGATGAACTGGAAAGACTACACATCTGCCAATACAAAAGTAGAGCATCAAAATGTCAATACAAAGTGCCTGTACCATAAAACCACATACACAGACACACACATTTGCAATATACATACGGAAGTACGGGTGTTGCATAGCCTCTTTCGCAGTGAGACGCTCCTGCCAAATCAAGCAACAACAAAGAAAAGAATCATAGCTTGATGATATCATTAAAGCACAATAATTCCGATAGGGACAATTATTGTGCACTGCGTCTCCTGATTACGGCTATGGTCGCTTGGTTGGATCCGGATCTCAGGTCCGCCAGATCCTTCAGAATCAACCGATCCCTTTTTGGACCTTGGCTGTTGCCATGGTGACGAAATAAAAAAAATGGCGCTGACAAAAAGGCAAAAGTCATACAAGAGTCGACTAGCCGTACGGCAATGAGTACAAAATGATTTTACCCGCCATATACGCACAAAGGTCACATTCGGATCCAGTCAACCCTACCCCTGGGGGCAGGGTTTGGTTGCTAGTGTCCAAATCCGAAGGACCTGGATTTCGACCAATCGATTATCGCAGATCCAGTTGATCTGACCAAATGGTCACAGACTAAGACTCGTCCGATGCACGTGCATATAAGTGGACAAATTAAAGTACAGTATTTAAAGCAGGACGCACGATGCGGTTGCATGACAATTGACGTTCCATAAAGGCAACATTCACGAAGGTCAGTCACTGTCAACAGTTACTTGAAGTAGGACAGTAAATATACAATGCATTAGCACCAGTCCACTGTTGGATAACCGTACATGATTATAATGCCCCTCCCCGTCCAATCAATTGCCATCAGTATGACTGCCAATCTCTGTAACAAGGCATTAGCTATATCACAACTGCTAACCTGGTGATCGTAACGCAAAAGCTTGTCCAAGAAGTCTAATGCCTCAGGCGTTACAAGACTCGTGTTTTCAGCATGAACAAATCTTTCCCAGCGTTTCCGCGAGTGCCTGAACAACAAAGATAAAACAAAGACAAAGCAGTTTACAGATACTAACAAGATTAATTTTTGTTTCCATTGCTATCAGGTTCGGCCTCATTTCCTCTGTGCTGCGCTGACGAGTCCACAAAGGACGAAACAGTTCTGTCTGCAGATTGAGTACTAACAAGATTATGAAGTCACACATATGACGTATGCAAGTACTCAAACATGCCCCTTAGTATCGTAAAAAAAAAAGGTAGCAGATACATTAAAACCGCTGTAACTCTTACTTTCCAAGGATTTCACTAAATCTGATGTCTAGTTCCATGTTGTACTTGTCAAGGTACGCATAAAGTTCCTCTGTCCCAAGCACCTTCGCAATCCTCACGAGCTGTGGACATGAACAAAGGAACCAAGAAGTGTTTCAATTAACAAGATAATCAAACTTCGCAATGGTCCTTTTGAGGAGAATGTAATGTGAGCCAAGCGAATATCTGTTATAAAGAGCGTCGGCAAGAGTACATAACCCCAAGAGTGTGCAACTGCCTGCACAACCTCTATGCAGTGCTGCGACGGCAGAACTTCACATCACGTGACATGGTTCAAAATGTTACACTGGCAAACAGTGCAAAGTGATCACAAGAGAGTTGTACCCAAAGCTGGGGTTTGTACAACCAAGAATACATAACCCCCAAGAGTGTGCAACTCCAGCTATGGGGTCTGCGACGGCAGAACTTCACATCACGTGATGAACCCGTACACATTATTTGCACTCTGTGCATGATTGATACAGGGTTGTACGAACCCCAGCTTTGGGCACAACTCTCTTGTGATCACTTTGCACTGTTTTCCAATGTAACCTTTTGAACCATGTCACGTGATGTGAAGTTCTGCCGTCGCAGCACTGCATAGAGGTTGTGCAGGCAGTTGCACACTCTTGGGGGTTATGTACTCTTGGCGTCGGCTATGACAATTTTCCTCCACATTGGTGTTCACAATATCAGGAGTCAACTGTAATAGTGGGAAATGGGTAGAAAAAAGAGAGGGCGTCGTCCAAACTAGACAACCAATTCGCAACACAAAATCATACAGCCCACATGCACATACCTGATCATAGTTGTCATGGCCATGGAAGAAGGGTTCCTTCTTGAAGATCTAAACACAAATCATACACGTACAGATATTAAAGTGGAAAACTAGAAAATGGGAAAAAATAGCCGGACAAAGATACATCCAACGAAACGTCCAATGCCATGCATATTGGCAACCCAGACACAACAGACATAGAACCTACCATGCTGGCGAACATGCAACCCAGACTCCACATGTCCAGTGAATAATCATACTCCTGGAAGCAAACAGCAGACAGAATTGCGCAGGCATTTAGCATAGCAGAACAAAATTAAATAACGGCGAACACCAGGTAGAGGCCGCTTGCATGCTCTTACATGCAAAGCAGGACAATGGAATGCGCATGGTCGAGGTTTTGCAAAGGGAATCAGAGACAGATGAAGGAAAAAAAACATTATGGATGCGGTGCACGCAATTTCATCCCGGGTTCGCCGAAAGGGCTCGCTTGCTATTGACGCTGACATAATCAACATATCCAAGCGGCTTCAGGTCATCGTTTTCGGGGCCATTCAGGAATATGGATAACTTTCAAGAAAAGGAAAGATTAAATGGAAACAAGGAAAACGGCGAGGCGCAAGTTATGCGTTAGAGTCCACCAACTAAACCAGGTTTTGAACAGTCAGACGTGCACAAGGTAGCACCAGACTGACAAGAAGTACTGAGACATTCCATAATTCCTTGCCGTGGAGTGTCTCAGCACTCCTTGTCAGTCTGGTGCTAACTTGTGCATGTCTGACTGTTGAAAACCTGGTTTAGCTGGTGGACTCTAACGCATAACTTGTGCCCCACCGTTTCCTTGGCTCACCAACTGAAAAGGAAAGATGTTCAGTTTTGACCCTCTACGACCCACCCCTTGAACGAAAATAATTTGACTTGAAACTCAGTACAGATAGAGGTTTCAGCTAGTTATACTATTATTCCAAAAATTGACCTTGATCCACCAACCCATAAATAAATAAATAGAAAAAAACACAACCGTGGACAGCCCATTAGTGGTCGTAGGTACCACAAATCTGCTGGGTGCACAAGTCTGGTGAAGCAAAACATATCCTCACCTGGAAGTCCACCAACAATTCAGGTCCTTTGAAGTACCGAGAAGCAACTCGAACGTTGTACTCCTGGTTGGGATGATAGAACTCTGCCAGACCCCAGTCAATAAGACGGAGCTGTACAAACAAACACGAACGCATGATTTCAAACGAGACTTGTAAAAAGTTATCTCAAGATTATCAAGAGCGCTTCCTTTGTAAAAAACATCCTGGGATTCACCGGCTTGGCAACTAGTCCGAAATAAAGCAATGTGCACATGGTTCAAGTTCTTTTGGTGTTACATACTTCCTCCACCCAAGCAAATGTTTCGCTATCCCAAGCCGAAAAATGTAGAAGTCGTCCTTTGTCATCAGCCGATGCAACACTTGTTGTCAGCTAGTACTTCGCACTTTCCAGAAGCGCAAATATTTCGTATAGACACTTTTCCGCGTGCTTCACCTCCTTCATGAGTACGATCGGTCGTGTTTCTTACCAGCTGAAGCTGGTTCGTTGTGAGCAGCTCTGCTACCAGTGTGCCAGTGGTCACTATAAGTTTTGCCACTGCTTCTCCCCAGGACGCCTTTGAATGAGCAAAACATTCAGCACAAGACGTTTTCCATCCGATTGCCGCCCGGCGCCAGGGCAGTTGCTTTAGCTTCACCTCACTACTTCCACCAAGTCTTTCGCATTTTCTTTGGCAACAAGCTCAGCGTAGCTTTGCACAATCGTTCACGTTGACATCAGGCGAATGAGCTGGGTGAGTGACAACCCTGTCATCGAAGCCTTTCTTTCTGCCGTGTTTTGCCCAGTGGTTCTGGTTCATTTTTGCAGTATGCGGGCGAGCGTCGCTGAGTGGCTTTCTCAGCTTCAAGTTCACATGCGTTTTTACCGTACACACATCTTGTGCCGGATGCAATCAAACACGCTGGCTTTTCGCAACATGACACCAGCTCTGTACTCCAGTGGTACTCAGCAGCACCCACCTTGACCACTGACTGCCTTTGTGGGTTTATTTTTATCAGTTCACTCGCCTTCAACGCGCTCTACTCTAGGTGTTTCTTTACTCTTTGCCGACTTGTTTGGAACTGGTGCGCCTGAACCAGAAGATGTGTGTGATGGTGAAGTGCACAAGATGTAAAAATAGCTGTCAGACACCTGTCAGTGGGCTGAAGGAGATAAACGAAAATTTTGCCTGGGCGGAAGTACATGTACGCTCCTGGTTCAAGTGGTAGTGGTGACAATTAATTTTTCCTTCAGAAATTTCCCGGTATATCCCCTAAAAGTAAAACTCTTGAAAGCTCCATGGATAGGGCACCTTCCGTGTGCAACATACTGTAAGACATGTATATATAACGAGGAAGCAAATCTAACGTTTTAACGGATGACATTTCTCCGTTATAATAAGATCCGTTGAGGCCGTACTGCTTCATATATGCTGTGTGTGGATATGGCAGAATACTGCAAGATCGTTAACATATCTTCTCGTTAACCTATGAATTTTGGACAATCGTTAAATTTGCGACTCGTTATAATAACATGTCTTACAGTAGGGTCAATCCAAACAGGATTGAGAATGAAAGATACACAGGTGAAAAATAAAGGCACCAAAGCACAAACGTGTCGCATTTGGCATCAAAAACGCAGGTAAGTTCTGACACCAGTTACCATTCGAGCAAAAGTCAGAATAGGAAGGACTTCTGGTCTTCACCTGCATCCATAAAAGGATGTACGTTTTCCAGTGTAGACCTACATCAGGCGTGCAGACAAATATGGGTATCTTCAAAAAGGAACGCACCCTAATACAATACCACTGCCAATTCCCCCCCCCCCCCAACGATATACACAAATTACACTTACTTTTCTTTGTTCGTGATCGATCATGACATTGTGCGGTTTGACATCCCGGTGCATTATTCCCATGCTATGACAATAGTCCAATGCCTTCGCAATTCAATCAAAACCACAACAGAGAGCAGAAATCATCCAACCAGCATAATGGCAGGAGAGGGATTAACCGAACACCCAAGCCATCCAGACAATAAATGACAGCACAGACTAAGTTTTTTAGGAACCCCAAACTAGAGTCACATAATTATAGACACATGCACAAAACTGGACTGCTTGTGAATCATTTTGTTCAAATGGCTTGTAATGTACTAGTAGTGTGAAAATGAAGTCAAACACAAAGTGGAAAAACATCTCCTCTACTGAGATCTTGAGATGCATAGATTCAAGGTACATGGCCAGAGTTTTACAGCACACTACTGATAGCCCCTTTCCCATTTGGTCACAGCAAGACATGTACCATCCAGCCTCATGCAAGCATTTACCTTCAGGAGCTCGAAGATATAATACCGGATGTCATAGTCAGACAGCGTCTGGTAAAGTTGCTGTCAACAGAAAAACAAGAGTAAACATACAACATGAAATAAAGCGAAGCCACACCAGCATGATGCACATAAAAAAATGTGTGGTACTACTGTACGATTATTTGTGTCAAGTACACACACTAATTTCAAGATCCTTCGACAATGAAGGACTGCTTTCAGACTTCAAAATTGATGCACTTACTTAAGTCCTATCTCCCGTCCAATTCTTCTCACATTCTTTCCCTTGCAGGCCTGCACCCCGTAGCTTCCAGTGTTCCCGTATGACACCCTTTGTCCCTGCACGCCCATATTTGCCATAGCTACCCAGGCCCATTATCTAGCCCTCTCTATTCCTTGCTCTCGCCTTATGAACAACGTTTCCAATACTTTGAGATTGTACTTTGTGAGCTGTGTGCATTCTTAGCATACACTGCTACACCATGAAACGGATCAGGAAACACTGCTATGCGATTTACCCTGATCCCTTTTCATTCCCTCAAACTGATGACCAGCTAGCTGCAACCTTTCATTCACTGGAGAAGTACACTAGCACATCAGTAGTCCGATTAATAAGAAATCGATGCACACGACACTGAATCATAGTCATGCAGGCGATGCCGGCCAACAGCAGCACTCACCTTAAAGTCGGTGTTGTTCACATGCTCAAAGATCAGAGCCGGTGTCCGGGACTGAGATGGAAAAAGGACACCATTCAAACAATGAATATGACTAGCGTAAAACAGATAAACAGTTCCCCACAAAGTGCAGTATCCGAAAAACAAGCCATGATGCATGCACAGTTTTCGCAGTATTGTGCCCATGCCCATTAGCTCACTGATCCACGAAAACGGCAAACAGCGAGCGGTAAGAACCGGGCTAGTTGATATTCCTCTACGTTATACCACAATTTCCGTGAGCGAATGCAGATATTGTGGGGTAAGATAGAGGGTACAGCTATGGTGCATTGCGCACTACTCATGTACGATGCTTGCACGACGGCTACACCTATGCAATCAGCACCAATGCAGAATCAAACTACGGATGGCCCCTCAGTCATAGAACAACTCGCAACTTAGAAACAGCAACGCCGACAACAGTGGTAAAATTATGTGTGCAACTGTTTCGCACATGATGCACAGCTGTCGTTCTATAGGAGAAATTCAAATCAACTTGGATGTGCCATATTCAAGCTCAGCAGAGCATACAGTGTATTCATTATCATACATTGAACATTGCCTTACTCCCCATTAGTGCAACTAGAAGAGAAATCTGACCTGTAGCTGCCATATAATCGACAAGGAAAACTGAACGATTTACATGTGAAGGAAACATATTCCACCACAAACTGGGTCAAGATAGGGCACCGTGATTTCAACCCGGCTTAAAGCTCCATGATAAAGCCATGCCTTTGAATTACAGCTCACTATCTATGTACTAGTAGTCATGAAAAATGGTAGTTCACCTAACTTCAGTACGAAAAAAATAGCAAATGTCACTCACAACTGGATCCTTGACGACATCCAAGAGTTGAATGATATTCGGACCTCCTCGCAGGTTTTCCAAGATCTTGATTTCACGCTTAATTTTCTTTTTCTTGACCGGCTATACCGCAAGAAAGACATGGCAAAGTTCGACATTCGATGAGTCGATGGTTGCAAGAAAAATTTATTTCCAAAATCGACCTGTACCTTGAGGATCTTCACCACACACTTCTCATTCTTCGTTACATCAACTGCTTCAAACACTTCACTGTATTTGCCTCGACCAAGCTTCCTGACAAGCTGGTAGCTATCTTGGTTGCTGTAAACACGAGAACACCACGTCCATATTGGCACAGAACGCTACGGACATAGCTTATAGCACAGGAGTCTTACCCCCATTCGATAGTATGTGCCTCGTAATCCCAATACTCTCTAGCCTTGTGTGTATTCACATCAGCATAAACCCTGGCTCGACTACCGGACGACATCCTCCCCACCTGGTAGCTAAGTAAGGGGCGCAACAGCTCATGAAGAGCCCATTGTTGCAAGAAAGAGCAAGGAAAAAACTACAGAAAACGCAGAGAAGCTGCTCGAGCACAGCGAACGGCAAGCTTGAGGTTACATTACAAACGCGCATGCGTAGCCGCTTTGGTGATTCATGATCACGTACAAAAATCTGTACGGCTGTACATGTACATCATGCATGGTACATGCAGAGTACTAAAAAAATAAAATAAAAAACTCGTGGATGTACAGTGCTGGCAACTGAAATCCGACCCCCTGATCGGTGGGTTCACATTCTTTGCGATATGAGCGCCCCGCTCAGGGGGTCGGATTTCAGTTGCCAGCCCTGCCACTGTGTAGCAAGCCTACGGGTACGGCCTACGGGTACCCCGGGTCCGGGTACGTATGGTAATGCATATGCGGTACCAGTGCAATATCAAGAGAACATACTGACATAGAGTTATGTACTCTTGATTATGCACATGGTAATAATTATGCCTGGCACCAGTGCATGCCATGCGTATGTACGTATCAACTATCGATCATAATAATGTATGCCATTATGATTATGTCTTTATGACTTTATTAAATGACGTGACGTGTTTAGGGCTTTGTTATGTCATTCAAGGAGTCGTAAAATACCGGTATTTTACGACTCCCTGATGTCATCGTATGTATTTGTGCAATGATTAATTGATTATGTGCAGGCGCTAGGCGCGGTGCGGCTGTCACTGCACTGTGGCCGGATTCCTGAAAAAAAATGACGTGACGTGTGTAGACCTACGCGTTGTAGTAAAATGACGTGACGTGTGTAGACCTACGCGTTGTACAGTACATTATTTTTCAAACCATACCGGGATACCGTAGCCTACACCATGTACCAGTGCAGCTGCAGGGAGTAGTAAAAGTCGCGTCCTTCTGTCGTTCTGACCAGGGAGTAGATCTACGTAGTGCATAGATCTACTACTCCCTGGTTCTGACCTTCATCTTCAAGCTTCACATCACCATGCTATGCCAGTTCATCGATCATCGATCTACGTCAGTAAATCTACTCATCAGTGCAGTGTGCAGATCACGCCTTTCACCAGTTCACTAGTACACTACAGTCTATCTACACCTCAACCTCAGCTCAGTGATCGAGTACTGCTCAGTGAGTGAGCGTCAGAATGGCGTCGAGGAATGAAGCGAAAGTGCAGGAAGGCCGTAAGCATTTGGCGGCTGGAGACAAATGGTGAGCAAAAAGTAGGGCTCCATAAGCAAGAGGCAGCATTCTCAAACTTTGCTATACTGTGTTTGCAGTCTCCAAACGGGGTTCTTCAAATGGAAACCCGACCACGAGGGAGCAGCTCAAGCTTTCAAAGATGCAGGTTTGTTATGCTGTCAATCCACTCTCCAAATTGATCTGGATTTGAAAAGCTTGTTTCAAATAAATGGTTGTCTTTCATAGCCAACTGCTTCAAGGTGGCTAGAGCACACGAGGACGCGAAGCTTGCGTTTGTGAAGGCAGCCAAGGCCTTGGAAAGTTGTGGCAGGTAGGACGACGTATTTCTTTCTTTATACCTATGCTACCTATAATTAGAAGAAATTCTCAATTATAAAATGGGAGATAAATAATGCTAAGTGCGCAGTCCTTGGTGGATACTATACTAACAGCCACAAAGGGACATAGAGGTTAGGTACTAGTACATGTTTTCAATTGTGAAATTTCTTTCAACCAAATAATACACATACAGTGGAGATCGGATATAACGACCTTGCATAATTATAGTGACAAATTGAGTTAAGCGACACAATTCTGTTGCCCAAGTCGTTTAGCAAGTCCTTTGCGTACATTTTGATCGGGTATAACGACCGCGAAAATAACGACAGATCGGATTTACAAGCAGTGACACATTTTTGGTGCCCAACGACCTGAAAATGCGTCGAGTATAACGACTTTCCCCATACATAGGCCACAATTCCGCTACATGTATCAGGTGGACTGGCATGCATGGAACATGTCTGTGTCACATGCGAGGATCTCCAGGTCAAGCGTGACACGGTGCACTGTACTGCAGAGCCGAAGTACGATGTACATATACATGCCGTAATGACACATACATGTACATGCACATCTGAAATCCACATGAGTTATGCACATTGCGCATCTGCAATCAATTCCTGGCATTTTGATATGCATACCAGTATTGCTTATTAAATTGGAAGATCGGGTTTTATAGTGACAGATCGAATATAGTGACATGTTGTTCTCTCCCGAAGGAGTATCGTTATATCCAATCTCCACTGTATCACGCCCGTAAGCTTCGATCATTTTTAGATTTTGGGAGTAACAATAGGTATTGCAGTGAGGCTTGTGATGACTGAAAACGATGCCCGTTGCACGTCGGGAACGTTCAATTCCACGCAATTCTGTCCATTCTAGAATCCCCTACGATGCATATGCCATTCGACTGCGTGGATTTTGTTGTTAGAATCCACGGAATCCAACTCCACCAACTCCGAAGTGAAGGCGGAATTTCCAATTCTCAATCCAGAATTTACTTATTATTATTTAAAACTCGGGTATTGAGCCAATAATAAAAGTAGAAAGGAAAAGGACATATGGAAACGAGTTAAGAGTAACTCTCCACCACTGTAACAAGATACTATATACAGTCAGAAAGTGCACCAACTAGGCACAAAACTGACAGACTTTCTGACTTTCTGACTGTATATAGTATCTAGTTACAGTGGTGGAGAGTTACTCTTAACTCGTTTCCATATGTCCTTTTCCTTTCTACTTTTATTATTATTATTATTATTATTTTGCTTGTTCGCGTTGGCAGCAACCTGCATAAAGCAGGTATATAGCCTTCGCTTAAAGCGGGATTCACAGAAGCTTTTTTGCGATGCGACAGACGCGAAACCGGGAAACCCCCAAATCGCAGCCATGTCGCACCCCACGCAACTGCCGCAACTGGGCCATCGCAGGCCATCGCAGAAGTTGAGGTTGGCTCAACTTTTGCGATGCGATGCGACAAGCGATTTGGCGTACGATTTTGACCTTTTCTACAGCAAAGTTGTACAAAGGTTCAAGAGTTGCCTATAAGTTTGTACAAGTTGTATCAAACCGCGCGAATATCATGGTGACGTACCCAAATCAGCAAGACTTTGTCGCATCGCTGACTTCTTCTGTGAATGGTATTTCGCGAGTTCGCATCGCACGCATCCATCGCAGATCGCGTGTCGCATCGCAAAAAAGCTTCTGTGAATCCCGCTTAACTCTTTGGAGACCCAAATAATCCTGATAATTGTATGCAACTGCAATTGCGATATATTCTTTACCTTATTTTGGGCATAACTTTGGTGTTCGTTTTTGGATTTCCATAATCTTGGGCTTCCTGGAAAGCTCTTCGCGAGCGGAGTAACTAGAGCTCAAATTCAACCCCACAACAGTCACATACCCAACGCCACAGCGCCTCGAACAGTCCACAGAGCTGGATATACGAGCAAATGTCCTCGACGCCAACCATTTCACTCTCATTCATGAATTCATCGCCGAACGCTCAATTTGTTTGCGCTGAGTTTAGTTTTATGCTGACCACGTGCAGGAAGCGTGCCTGGGTGAATCAGCATGTCATCCAAGGGGAAATCCCTCACTCAAGGCCAGCCACTGAGAAAAAGTTCGACTTTTGCCGTGACTGAAATGTCGAGCGCGATATCTCTGCAACGCGACATCGTAGCTCTTCGGCGATTGTTGCATTAGAAAGCTGAGCTCTTCGGCTTCTCCCCAGATATTTCGATCGTGGAAATCCGTCAAATTTTGAGTGAGTTACGAACGTTTTAGTCCATCGACGGCATACCGTCGATATTTGACTGTGCAGGCTCCAAACTTACATTCTTTAATTTCTCTTGGCACCACTCGCGCCTACTGCATACAGTCAACGTTGCGTATAACGACACTCGGCCGGGGATCAGAAAAGTGTCCTTATTCGCGAAGTCCCATTATATGTATACAGTCAACTTGGCTAATAACGACTGCGGATATAGCGACAATTCGCGAATAACGACAGAATTTCCATGCCCAGAGCAAAGTCCCATCCAACTGTAATACATAATTATAATGAGACTTCGGGTATAACGATACTTTGTGAATAATGACACTTTTCTGATGCCGGGCCGAGTGTCGTTATAAGCGAAGTTGACTGCACAGTTAGAATGGACTTTGCTCTGGGCATGAAAAGTCTGTCGTTATTCGCGAATTGTCGTTATATCCGCAGTCGTTATTCGGGAAGTTGACTGTATGTACGGGTGATTCGAACAAAAACAAAAAAATCGACGGGTTCGCGTACCGGGCAGGTCAAGAACAAGGAGTCGTCCAACTCCCTGATCAAGAACCACCTTTCCGCTTCCGTGGGACGCCACCACCCCATTATCAGGCGTCAGATGCGGCTCCTAAACGGTGGGGGAGGATAGATCAGATCCACCAACCATAGGCCAAAGGCCTAAATCCCATTTGCCACATCCATGTTTTACTCATGCCAGGCCACGAGTTCCCAATTAACTGGGGTCGCAGCACGGTTGGGAAAAATCCTTCCGCTTCCAAGCAGAACTTGAACCTGGTATCTCTCGTTTCTCAATCATGTTCGAACAAAGATCTGTATAATTATGTGATCTCTTTCCATGGTTTTATCGAGTGGATTTTGAGTACGGAAATCACGACAAATTCTAGTTGTCTGTTGCCGCAATCCGCTCATTCGGGCAATTCCAGAAGTAAATCTGCATCCAGAATGTGCACTGCAAGAGTTAATCTCTGACGGGGCGCAAAGAAACGTTACTATAGTCCATTCGCCAAATCAGGGCTCTTGATACACTAAATCTACATATAAGTGGGTATACCCAGGTTTCAGCAGTGCTCAACACCACAGGGGCGGAGCGTAACCACAAAGGTCAAAAAGAATGGTTTCACCAATTATAGAAACATACGTTGTAACGCTGCGTTTCATGCACGTAGCTAAATGCTAAGGCAATCATCAGACAACACATACATCATATATATGCACCATCTTGACAAACTCTTCATGATTGCCCAAGATGGAGCTGCTTGGAGAGGCTGTATTCACGCGGCGTAGCACGTGTGTGGGGGATCTCTAGCAGAGGAACAGCAACGGAACCATGTGTTGCACAATAGTACCATACGTATTGTGTCAATGCATATTGTACGCGATCTGTCAAATATCTGTGTCTTAACAATTTCATTTTGCACGTATTTCAAGTATCTTGATCTCTTTTCACTGCATTCACTTCATCTTAGGCTTAAACAAAAACACAAAAAACGGCCATCGTATTGATTGTCCTTGTTGTTCTGTTCTAACCCACATTGTACATGTATATAAGTCATCGACTTAACGATCTTGACTAGCAATAAAGAGAGACTGTGAAAAACATATGGGCCCAGATTTGGCAAATGCACTATAGTGTGCTGTTCCTTCTCTCTCCTGTACTAGAGGAATAAAAGATGGATGTGCAGTATTATATCGAACGTGTCGATTGTGTCGACAATGTGAAGATCGACTTTAGCCGGGCCAGGGTTGTATTTCGCACCCAGTTTGGGCAATGTTGTCTATTGTGGGGTAGCAAAGTCGTAGTTGACAAGTACACCATTAGAGTTGGGATTAGAAGAGTTATATTCAACAGTTTCTAGAACAAGATTTAAGTAGAGAAGTTTGACTGGGCAAGACAAGACTTTACGGAGACGATCAAGATGCTTGTCAAAGGTTCTAAAAATAATGACATCTTGATAGATAAGGCAGGCATCAAAGGTCAAGCCGCGCAGGGTTGCATTCATTAGTCGCTGAAAAGTGGTCGGAGCATTTGTGAGTCCAAAGGGCATTCGCGTGAATTGGAACAAGCCACCGGGCATACTGAAAGCAGTCTTCTCTTTTGAATCTTCAGCCATCGGCACCTGCCAATAACCTGACTGGAGATCCAAAGTACTGACAAAGTGGGCGCCCCGAAGATGATCTAGGGTGTCATCTGTCCTTGGGCAAGGATGGGCATCTTTCAGTGTCACTGCATTCAACTTCCAATAGTCCACGCAGAACCGGGTAGAGCCATCAGATTTCGCTACTAAAACCACAGGGCTGGACCAAGGGGAGGTACTGGGTTCTAGCACATCATTGTCCAACATGTCTTGTACGTGTTTCCGTACTTCATTTGCCTTAGTAGGGGCCGAACGTCTCGGAGCTTGATTGATGGGACGGGAGTCACCAACATCAATTGTCTGGGATGTTGCAGTACTGCAACCCTTCTCTGAGTCGTTTTGGGCAATGACGTGTACGTTATTGCAAAAATGATGTTCAGATGGACGCGGGCCCTGGAAAGGTTCGTCCACAACACCATCAGCAGAAGCAATCGGCTTAGAAGGGCAGAAACAGAAATGTGCCCAGAATTTTCCCCATGCCACTGAAAATGTGCAAATATTTGGAACACCTAGAGAATTTTTAGGAAATTAGAGGCCACATGCCACGTACTGCTCTTTTCTCTCCAAAACTCAACACTTGCAAACGAGATATGAAAGAAAAAATCATCAGTCACACCACCGGGACTCGAACCAGGGGGACCTTGCTATTCGCGAGCAATGCTCTAACCAACTGAGCTACAGTATGACTCTTATCACATGGCATGTGGCCTCTAATTTCCTAAAACTTTGAAATTCACCTAGAGAATGCAGGAGAAAATGGACTTTTGGGCGGTGTCTACGTCTTTTAGCAAGCAAATTAATTTCCTTACCACACATCGACATGGACGTATCTGAAGTTACACAAAACGAGGGTAGAATTGTCAAGGTTTAATGTACATAATCGTCGTGTGCTGCCTTTGTGTTGGTGTAAACTCATGGAATGCAATACGTGTTCGCTATGATCTAGCAATATTCATTTTTGTATTCCTGTGCCTCTTTTTTCCCTTCTTGTATTTCTGCTGCCTGTTGTATTCTGTGTGCTGATCGATTGTCTCCTATTGCATTGACGCTGTGCTGTCGTCACTGCTGATAACTACAGTGACTTCCATGCCGCCAAGTAAGTACCGTATTGTCCCCGCTAGGTGAGCCAGCTGGACGTTGTGGTGTTGTTTGCGCTCTTCCTTTATTGTACTACTCTTCAGACTTTGTACTGGTAGCACTGTAGCAGTGGCCTGACATGAATGCAGTGAATGGGAATTTCTGTCTTTGACCACTTTGTGGCTGTTCTAATCTACTCTCATCCTACTGCTTTAGGAGCTGCATCTGTGCTTTGATCTTTGGCGGTAGTGGCGTTCCTATGGATACAATTTGTTTCCGTTTGACCGAGTCTCACGCGAACCGTAATTTTGTTATGGCTTCGGATTTCAGTAATGATATTTTTAGAGTCAACATCAACAACAGGATGAAATGACTGCAGACAGGGTTTGCCCTGACCCTTGACTATTCAATTTTTTTTAAGCGCTGGATCTCATACTAGTGTTAGAAGAAGCTGTGGCTGATAGCAATTGTCAGTAGCCCGTGTGTATGCCACATTCATGACATTGTTTGCTTGCCGCTGTGTTCTTTTTCTGCAGGTATTTTGAGCAGGCGGCCATGATGGCTAAGGTCAGTTGGTTCCGCGTATATTCTTTTCTAAGTCACTTACAGTCCATCGCATTGATTTCCTAATTATTAAATGCTGCTCGGAAAGTACATGTGTACAAGTAATTATTGCCTCTGGTCAAAACATTTGTTCTGTATCTTACAGCAGCCTGTCTTGCATTTTTGTTGCTGGTTTGTATAGGAGTTGAAGCAAGGTGAAGAGGCCGCAAATCTCTTTGAGCAAGCAGGGTAAGCATGTAAGATTTGTGATGTCTCTGATGCGGCTGGGTGGCTGACTTCAACAATTATGATGTGCAATAAATGGAAGGCTCGGACATTCGTTCCTTTGAAACAGAAGGATTCTTTTCTCATAATGACCACTACTGAGCTGATCCCAGCGTAGAGCTCACAATTCCCATCCACTTGACAAACGCATGACCACCATCAGCCCCTGAAACACTGTGTACTGGGCAAAGAATGGTGCTTTCTTTCAGGCTTGCCGACTGAAATGGTTCGGCATGCTCCTCATGTTTGCAGGTTGACAATTGTGAATTGGTCAAGTGCCAGCTAGGTTGGCAGCTAAGCACGAGCTGCACGATGGAAGCAGCCAGCATACGTACATACTGTACTTCAACGTATGCATGTACGTGCGCTTTGTTCATCTTTCAATCTGCTGCAGGCTGTTGTTCCGGGCGAATGGGTCAGTGGACACTGCCGGCATCATGCTGGATCGCGCTGGCAAGTAAGTGCTGTGGGATCTGTTCACTGCAGCGATATGCTTCATAATGCGGTGTACATGCCTGTCACAGCATTCCACATGCCGTACGTATGCGTCTCTGTGATGAGTGGTCATTATGAGTCCACTTTATCTTGACCACGCGCGTTTTCTCTGCTTGTCCTTGAACAGTACGACGTAGCAGTTAGATGATCACGTGGAAATTATGGTGTCCATGTACGTCGTTCCGTGGCATTGGCCTAATCAGTAGTCGCCAACACTGTAGCTCTACCATTCGTTGCTGCTGTGAGCTAAATATGTGTGCACTGCATTCTGTCCCTTCAACTTGCTTGTGTGTGTGTGTGTATGTGTGTTTTGTCTTGTGTCATGTGCTGTGTGCTGTCTGCAACATGGGTACTGGTACGTCGCCCAGGATTCTTGAACCCCTCAATGGCGGGAAGGCTTTAGAGATGTATTTGTCAGCAGCGGACTTGAGTGAGGTGAGACTTGCCTATTGCCTATTGGTGCTTGTTTTCAACTGTTGTGCCTGTGAATAACAATAGACCCATTGCGCAATGACGTAATTTGTACCATAAACACCCTTCACAGCCACCGGAGGGGAGGGGGGGGGGGGTTGAACAGTGCACTCCTGATCCCAGCATACTCACAAGCATTGCTCATGCATTCCATATTTGGCTGTGAAGGGTGTTTTTACGTCATTGCGCAATGGGTCCATTATTAACAGCAGATTATTAATTTTGGTCTGGGTGGTTTTTGGACACGAGTGTGGTTTTATTTCCGACTGAGCCCAGGGCTATGCGTTCACTCATCTTAGTCTAACATGCACACACACACACACACACCGGTACCCTTTTACTTTGTCTAAACTGTGTGGATGTGGTGGTGTGTGTGTGTGCATGTGTTCACATGCAGGATGCAGAGAAGCTCCGTCAGGCAACTGAGAGCTTGGCAAAGGCTGTGCAGCTGATGGTCAAGTATAGAAAGTGAGTGTTCTACTCTGCCTGTGCTCCTGTTGAGAGTCTCCACTGGTAGTGTGGGCAGGCTGGCGTGATGTCAATGAGCTACTAGGGAGTCCCAGAGAGAGAAAGGAAGTTTCCATGCAGCAAGCAACCGATGAAATAGATGTCGTAAAAGTCATAGGTTTAGAAGCCGTTATGATGTTCACCAGTGAATCTCCATTGATTATTGTTTATGACAGAAAGAAACAAACTCGTATACTACGAGGTGCGAGCATGCACGCCCAATTGAACATTACATATAGAATACCTTTTAAAATACCTTCATAAACCCTTTGCGGGAATACTTTGTTTTAGTTTGTCGGCCGTGTGCCTCTTCTCTGTGTGTTCAGGTTTGATGACTGTGTCAAGGCCATGGAGCATCAGCTTGTTTTGAATGAAAAACTATCCAATCATCAGATCATGCATAAGGTAAGATGAATATGGCAGTGAGGAAAGTGCTTCCAACAGGCTTGTGACTTACTAGTACTGTATACGCTTTGTTTCACGTGGTTCGAAACTTACATAGTAAGCTTTATAGCACAACTCTCAAAGGTATGTTCTGCTCCTTTTTCTCCATGCGTCTACTTTTAGGTTGGGTTTAAAAAATGTATCCAGCGTACCAAGTAACTTAGTTCGTCGACTCGTGTGTGTGGGGGGGGGGGAGGGAGGGTGTCTGATGGTGCATTGTGCTTACGTAATATAAGTAACTCTGAAGGGTCTTTGCACTCTTTGGAAAGTTTCAACTTCATTCTGGTCTGTGTGTGTTTGTATGCGTGTGTGCATGTGTGCGCAGATTGCCCTTAGTATAGTCCTGGTGCACCTCTGCCGGGATGACTATGTTGCTGGTGAACGCTTCTTCCGAGATGCATGTGGGTGAGTAGTGGCTCGTATGTGCGCCTGTTCGCTGACTGCAGTAGACACATTTCCCATCTTTGTTGTCTGCTCTGTGCCATACGGTTGCCTTGGTCTGAAATCTGTGCTGTAAGAACTGTATGCTCTATTAGTCTATGGTCATGTTTACGTGTCAGTTCTGAGCTCTTACACGTATCGCTACTATCCGTGAGATGGTATGGGTAATGGTGTTGTAAAGCCACTTTTTTAATATATATATTCTGTAGCTAAGTGTTACTTCATGTTTATGCTACTGTTTGCCGTTTGCTAGCAGAATGCTTCAATTTTGTAGGTACAGTATGTGACTGGTTTCTTGTCTTTTCCCTGTAGAATTGATGGGTTTGGCGATTCTGATGCGGGTGCTCTCGCAGAAGACCTGCTGCAAGCCTACGATGATGGAGACACCGAGGCGATAGAGAGAATAACATCTGACCAGTACTTCTCCTTCATTAGCACAGAGGTAACTGAATTGTCATTGCTGATTTTTTTGTCACATTGCACACCTGTTACACCCTTCCGCTTCCAAGCAGGGCTTGCATGCAGGCATATTGGGATGGTCTAAGGCCATGACTCCAAGCAGGGCTTGCATGCAGGCATATTGGGATGGTCTAAGGCCATGACTCCAAGCAGGGATTGCAGGCAGGCATAGTGGGATGGTCTAAGGCCATGACTGAACATCTTATTTGAGTCTTCTAAAACCTAAACACATCGATACTTCAAACCTCTCAAAAGCACAATTCTGACATTGGTGTGGCGAATCCGTTGTGCTTCACAGATCGCAAGACTCGCTCGAGCGCTCCGAGGACCACAGGACCTGGCCCCGCCTGACCCGTCACTTGCTCCTCCCCAGGGGGCACAGCTTAAGACCTACTCGAGGGCGAGCAAGCCCGGGTCTGACGAGGCAGTGCGTGCGGCCGTGTCCTCCAAGGCTACGCCGGCCCGTGCAGCCGAGGATCGCGCAGCTCTGTTTGGCGAGGCGCCACCGCCTGCTGTGCCAGCATCGTCAAGCAGCAACACCCGCAGCACCGCGGCCTCGTCTACGAGCAGAGAGAGTAGTAGGCCGGCCGATCATCCGCCTCCGAAGGCTAGCCCAGCGGCAGCGAGGATGCCACCTGCCGACGAACGCGCAGCCTTGTTCAGCGATCCAGCCGACAGCGGTAAGGGTGGAAGCGATCCATCTCGAGATCGCTCTGATCTATTTGGAAGCAACAGTGGTGCCCAGCAGAGGGAGGACACTGCGACCACAAGTGACGAACCTGTTTCTTCCAGCGCAGTTGACGTTCCTCCTGTGGATGAGACTACCAAAGAAGAAGAAGCTGGTGAGGAGAAACTATTCGATGATGATGAGTTTGCCGAAGGAGACTTGTGCTAAGCACTTGCAGTTTAAAAACGTTACCATGTAACCTGGCTGGCTGTGTGCACGCGTTGCTTGCAAGCACGTGCCACTGCCGGCGCAACAGAGCAATCAATCTATTTGATATCAGTATATTATTAATAACTATTGTCTGGCTGGTTTGCTGTTGTCGGGCAGTAACTTCATGAAACACATGCTGCCTGCTTATTTCTCAGCTGTTTTCTTTGCTTGTTGTCGTACTAGGTTAAATAGCTTGTTTTCTAACTAGGGACTTCCCCCATGATTCACTTATTAATGCACAAAGTTGTTCAGCTTCCGTACTTGATTCGTGCCGGTGTACAGTATTGACTGCATCCTTCCAGCTATTCTCTGCCAGAACCTGTACTCTTTAATTTGTACACTCACACTTCTTCATGTTCTTGCTCGTCCCGGTGTTCCGTAGTCTTAGCGGCTGGCCCCGCCGTATTTACAAGTTTATCTTCTTTTTCTTTTCTTTTTTTATTCCCACCCCTCTCCCCGTAGTGCGGTCAGGGTGGTTTTCGTGTTTTTGTTTCTTCGCCCTTAGGCTAGAGAGAGGCCAGCAGATAGACCATTAGCGTTAACTTATACGGAGATGTGACAACATGCATGTACCCGACTATGCTGTCGTGTGACCAGTGCCTTACAGGTATGCCACTGTCCGTGATTATTCACGTTAAAACCGGTCTCTCGCTTGGGTCTTCTGTCTACCTACCAGCATGCAGTCGTGTACAATGTACTAGTCTTTTCCCGGATCTACGTAGTGCTAGCCCCATTAGTGTGTGAGACCCCCTCACATCTCTTGGCGGCCAACATCACTGTCTTTTTCTTTAAAATTTCTTTTTGTACTGTCATTTTCTGCAACTACCAAACTCGAATCAAGGACCCGATTGGCCTTTTTTCAAGCTAGGTAACTAAAAACGACAGCGTGTTGCAATGCAGTACAGTATCATGCAGCAGTCATGCACACAGCCATGCTTGCAGGAATACATGATGCACGTACGGGATACCCTTCACGGACTCACATGTAAAATTGTATAACTGCAGCCCACTCTAGTCTTTCAATTGTGGTAAAAGGAGCCGAGCTAGCGAAACTGTGATGGCAAAGCAAAGATTCGGTGAAGCATGATACGTCTTTTCTAATTTCTATGCAATTCATGCAGTACATGTACAATGGCTGAACAGAGACACAATACATCTAAGAACTACTGAGTACATTGGACGAGTAGCTATATTAACATGTGGCTGAGAGAGTCAAGTCTACACCATTCACTACAATACAACCGGCGTATGTGCAAAGGTGTGAGATTTCCAAAAATAGCTAAAGAGTAAAGGGAATGTTTTAAAAAGTCTATTTAAAGGGTACAGCTAAGGGAAAGTAAAATCAGAATGGAGAGAGTGGCAGACGTACAAACAAAACAGACGCATAGTTTTAAACCGTTGCTGACAAGCACTGCTTTTTGTCAAGGGAAGAAGTATAATTATGTCTAACCAAGAAGAGCGAGGAACAAGTGATCATTCAGTTCTGTTGCAGCAGGGGTAGCACCGACGTGTGCATCAACGTGTACTGTTCATGTATCAGTCAACCATGTATCAATCACAGCAGAGCTTATCAGAAGAGCACGGTCATGGCTAGGCAGCAAAGCATGGCCAGAGCAGTGGTTGTTGTCGTGACAGCAGGCAGAGCAGCAGCGCTACTGCCGCTAGGCCGTGTACTGAACTGTGGACAGTTGGTAGTGCTGGTGCTGGAGCAGCTATCACACGTCGGGCACTGGCAGCACAGCGGGATCACCTCTGCACTCACATTGTACAGCCTGGCATTGCTTACCGACGGGTTGTAGTAGTTGATAGTACGCACGGCGCTGGCCTGAAGCCGACCAACAATCAAGTTCTGGACGATATCGAAGGAGACGCACGTATCACGAGAGCTGATCTCATCCAAGTAGAAGACAACTCGGCGGTCGGGAGTTTCCACGCGCCCAGCCATGGGTTCTCTGGAAAGAGCTTGGTTGACCGTATCCATGTCAGCACTGAAACCGGACGGCAAGGAAATCTCTAGCAGTGACATACCCGTGTCTGCGTAGGTGGTGGCAGCAGCACGTGTGCAGTACTTGCAAGTAGCGCCGAGTCTCTCGCCTTGCTTCCACAGCGAGCAGTCCGTATCCATAGTGTAGGCATTGACGTCATCGGTATACTGGTTGTAGAACACCTCAATAGAGAGAATGACCGTGCCGGACCCGGTAGCACTGAGGGCAAGAGTGGACGGCACTGGGAAGTCTTCCGTCTGCTGCAGTACCAATGAATTCACACTGTTCACACTGAACGACTGTGAGAATGCCGATGCACCACCCTCCGAGGCTATATTGATGTTCATGGTTGGTGGTGTGGCAGAGACCAGCATGGCGAAATCAGCCAGTGCTTGCAAACCAACAACAGTATCCTGTGTAGAATCGAATCCGCCGTATGAGTTGCGCTGGGACGAAAGCCAGCGTGCAACCGCAGAGGCATCGGCGATGCGCTTGTGCAGCACCAGCGCCAGTAGACCGTAGGCCGTCAGTTCCACATCCGCTGCTGGAGCGCGGTAGTAGGGAGAGCGCCAGCGAGAACTGACCATCTGCTTGCGGCTGTCGCGCCAACTGAGTGTGCCTCCAGTGCGGTCAGCACGTGCAAGTAGTAAAGTGATAGCTTCCGATGCCAGGCTGCTGTCGGACAATTTCAGAGCATACGTACTCAGCGCCAGTGTATAGTTATCTGTGACGAGGCTCAACTGGCCTTCAATGTAGGACTGCACCTTAGCAACTGCGCTGGTGAGAGCAATCGACGGCCGGTTCTGAACAGTGCGAGCTTCGACCAAGGCGGTGAGAACGTAGGCGGCGCGTGCAACGTCCCCCTGCAGACCACCTTTCAGATGCGAGCTGTGCACCATACCCACCTGGCGGAAAGAACCAGAGCTGGTTTGCTGCGCCAGGATGAATTGCAGGGACTTGGATATGACATTGGGGTCCACGTAGATATACGGCGACGCTTGTGAGAAAGACTTGACGACGAATGCAGTAAGCCATAGACTGCCGACGCTGTCTCGCTGCCCGAAAGCACTGAATGAGTAGTCATTGCGCCAATAGCGCAGCTCACGCTGATAGCCGGACATCATGAAGCGCTTGGCCTTGGAAAGTATGCTGCCCGTGGTCATTCTGCTGGCGGTGAGGTAGCGTGTGATGAAGACGTCGGGCGCAAACGCTACCATGTTCTGCTCGCCGCAGCCATACGGCATGGTTAAGAGCTTGTCCAGATTGGAAAGTGCTGGCCCCATGATGTCGCCAACGACTGAAACGACCGCCCGCGCTGAGCCAGGAACTAAGCCCTCGGTAGGAAGTGATAGGAGCAGTTTCTCTGTCATTGAGCCAGTGTTGGTCAGGTCAATGAATACACCATGCGAGTAGGACTTTGTAACACCTTCCGGCTCAACGAGCAGCTGACGAATGACACGGTCGGCAGCTAAACCAGCACGGGCCGTGACGGTGATTGGAAGACGACCAGATATGGTCGGTTTGACAATAAACAAGGCTGACTGTGCTTTCCCAGCCAGGACTGTAATAGTCTTGCTTGCTGCTTGTCCAGCGTTGGCACCGGTTACCTTCAGGCTGGGCGTGGAGTCTAATGTGACCAGTGTTTCTTGGCTGGTGTCCAGGTAGTTGAACACATTGACCTGGAGGACAAGCTCCTCGCCTTGAATCACAGAGTACGGTAGGTTGAGCGAGATGAAGAACTCCTGGAAAGCGCGCAGTTTGACGGTTGACGGTGCTACACCCATGCCCTTGCTCGGCGACACAGCAAAGGCACTCGCTACCCACGATGTGATAGAGTCGGGAACGACTGTCTCAAACTCTGCTGTGCCGCTGGCCGATGCATTCGCAGTGGCCCACAGCCAGGTCTCGGGGAAGAAGTCACGGGTGTGGTCTGGTACGGCAAGTGATTCGCCCACTGTGGGCGTTGAAGACCCCCCACCAGATTTATCAAAGGAAGCCACCTCGGGGTTAATACCACCACTATCAGGGGAATCAGCGAGGAAAAATGGCACATAAGGATTGTCTGGCACATTGAGATCGGAGATAATGCATATACCAGCGCTGCGCAGGATAGAGCCGGCCGTAGTGCCATAGTAGTACCATGGGCCTGGTAATACATCGCGTCGACGACGGCGATTGACGATGGCGGGTTCGATGAGCGCCCAAACAGGCCCGTCGTACGAGATAGGTCGACCACTCCTGTCGTACCGAGCAAGCTCCTCACTGACACCACTCGCTGTTATGGTGTTTGCTTGCCGGACAAGAAGTGCACTCTGATCAACAATGGACACTGCAACAGTTGAACCAGCCTCTGCAGACACAGTCAGTGTGACGTTGTCATTGGGGCGAGCTTCTGCCCGGCCAAAGGACACTTGAACATTGTTCTCAAACACGCCACTCACACTCACCGACAACGAGTCAACCACCAGCTCGCCACTAGCCACGTAGTAGGCAAGCACCTTGGCATAAGGACCCATTGCTGGCGTGACGACGAAACTGAACGACGCAGTCAATGAGCCGGCGGTCGGCAGTACCACGCCGTGGTGCACCAGAGTAGCTCGTGAGTGCACGGTGTACACTACCTGACTGAAGACAGTCGATGTCGAGTTAACAATGGCCGTGGCAGTGAAGCTTGCCGTCTCTCCTGCAGCATAGTTGGCTTTGGTCGCAGAAAGCTGTAGAAAGGAGCCAGTGTGTGAAAGAGCCACGGAGGGACTTAGATACACGGAGCGGTAGTAGTTGTTCATGTCGCCCATGGTCGGGTAAGCTCGGATACTCATGTACGATGAGCTCCTGGGAGCAGTGATAATGTGGTTGATGACACCGTTCCTTGTTGTCAGTGTGGCTTTTTGCTCCGCGCCGTTGCTATTGACGGTAATAGAAATGCTGGCACCGCTGATAGGCTTCTTGTCCGGCGTGCTGTACAGTAGGCGTATCAGGTACTTGTTGCCAGGTTTGAAGGTATTCGCTGTCACTGCACTGTCGAACGCCAGCTGCTTGGCGTAGTAGAAGAGTCCTGCGCTGCTGCTGGAGTGGCGTGTCTCGCCGCTGACAAGATCTGTGACACTGGCATTGACCACTAGCTGCTGGTGACCTTGGAAGTAGCCTTGAAAGCTATTAGACGAGCAGAAGAGACTGTTGAACTGCGCCCTGGTCAGCGTGACTGAAGCGTTCTTGCCAGCGGTGAGTGTCACTTGACGGCTGATTCTCGGATTGCTCCTTCCACTGCAACGCTGGTAGACATTGTTGAGGAACAGCTCCACCTTGGCAGTTCCCTCGACAGCTTTACCGTACGTGTACTGAGCGCTGATGAAGGTAACAATGTCCGAGCTCTCATCATTGGCAACGTAGGGCACTGTCGATACAGAGACGGTGAACTTCGGCAGGACGTATTCACGCACTTCAAACTGGGTGCTTGTCTGAGCTGTGGATGCGTTCACCTCTATGGTGTAGTTACCCAGTGGTGGATATTCAGAGATGGGGAAGTCTTCACTCCATATCCCATTCACAGGCTGTACATTCAGCCATTGGGCCAGGCGATTCTTACTGTTATCAGCAATGTGCACATTGAACGATCCGCTGTATGGTTTTAGATTAGGCTGCACAGTGACTACACGCATACGCACGGTCTGGCCAGGACGATACGCACCCTTATCGGTCTGTACGAAGATAGAGAAGCTACTGGCGACCATGACGGTGGTCTTGTTGGTGAACATCAGGCCACCGGTACCCGTCACAAGGAGCACAACTGACGAGCCAACCTTAACACTACTAGGCGTAGGCAGTGACACCTGGGCATGAGAGCGTGCAGCAATGACCACGTTCGCGGCTGCCAGCGAATTGCCGCCGACCGCTTGCAGCTCGGCACGCACGCTGACAGCACTGCTCCCGGCGAACAGGGCGACGTTCATCACCGTTGCCTGGCCCGGGTGCACGGTGCAGGGGAACGTGACGGCGTACGTGTGCTGACCACTGCACAGAGTGGCAGTGTGACTAGCTACTAGTACCACTGCCATCACCACTACGGTCAACAGCGACTGCAGCCCACCAGTTCTGGTAGAAACACGCACCATCTTTCACGCCACTACTTGAAAGCTATCAACTGACAGTGCTGGCTGTTGTCGATGACGGCAGTTAAACTGAACACAATCAACAAAGATATACAAAAGGAACAGCATAGATGAAATCATCAATAACACACAGACACATTAGTTTGTAATCAAAACAGTCAACGCTGCCTATCAATGCAGTGTTTCCAGTGTGCAGTTGTACATTTTACTGTACAGTGTGCGCGTGAAGACAGTGACAACAGCAGCAGCAGCAGCGGCGGCAGTAGCAGCAGCAACAACAGCAGCAGCGGTGGCAGTAGCAGCAGCAACAACAGCAGCAGCGGTGGCAGTAGCAGCAGCAACAACAGCAACAGCAGCAGCAGTAGCAGCAGCAACAACAGCAACAACAGCAGCGGTGGCAGTAGCAGCAGCAACAACAGCAGCGGTGGCAGTAGCAGCAGCAACAACAGCAGCAGCGGTGGCAGTAGCAGCAGCAACAACAGCAACAGCAGTGGCGGCAGCAGCACATGGGGCTGGGGGGGGGGGGGGCACAGAGTACATGGACGGCATGGCCATTCTCCTCGCACAATCTCTGACTGAGACCAATCAGCAAGGCAGTGCCGGTGGACTGGACACAGATGAAAACATAACTTTCACTACAGCTGTATCGCACAGTTTGCCTGCAGTTGGTATATTCCACACCACACCTTTCATATAATCCAGAGTAGCTGTCAAACACTGCATGGTCTGAGCCATTCTGCTACTATGGTAAAAGTCTGTAAATAAGTAAGTACATACTTTCGCATTTAGTCATCACACCCGCACTAACTTTCGGGCAATGTGATTCATTGCAGACGTCAGTCTACAGAGAAACATCATAATTTTGGTTAGGGCTGCAACAGGTAGGGATTTGGCCGGGTAACGGGTTCGGGTATTTTTATCCGGGTAGCACGGGTACCCTATCGGGTATTTTTCGACACAGTTTGTAGCGTGAGTGTGCACTTGCGCTACATAGAAAGTGTACAGTAAGCACGTAGCCGTGCTGGTCACATGCACTGTTGCAAAAACACCGTACTCCAACTACCCGATCGGGTTCTCAGGAGCAAATTGCTACCCTACTACCCGATCAAATTACGGGTAGCACGGGTACCCTACTACTCGTTGACACCCCTAATTTTGGTACATATACAGACAGTAAACCTGCCCTGAATAGCCTAATCCAGGCACATCCGTCTACAGGGCACCTTTCTGACCCATCTAGACTCACAAAATTGGCAAAATGGCCCCAAAAGCTATTGATTGGCATAAAAATGTGTACTTGCATGAAGTAATGTATGTATGTTCCTATAATAATTGTAGTTACGGGCAATTCCTAGTAACGGGCAGTGCTCGGTCCCAACCTGCCCGTCTTTAGGGAGTTTTAATGTAATTACATGACATGTATGATATGTATGATGATGACATCAGGGTTTTTTAAACGAATCCCCACAGTAGATCGCATGCACTATTGACACAACAGTTGAACTACGGTGGACCAAACCTGCAAACGACTTACGTAAATTTGAAATAGGATCAAAGCGAGGCGATGAGTTTCCTCCAGTCGATAGTGTTCACGAACTTTCGCACACCGATCCAAAACGGTTATGAAATCGATCTCAGAAAATACTTCCTACTAGTAGTACTTATTGCAAATAGGCCATGGTCATACGGACTAAGATTCACCAGCGCGAGGTGCTCCCAGCACTAAACTGCCCGATTGCAAAACAATTTCATTCAGAGAGTTGAGGTAAAGCTGGGGATCTCTCCAAATCTGTATTATTTTACATGACTTGTATCAATCCATTTTTAGTTTTTGCACACAAGATGGACATGTCGTTGTGGCAAGCGGATCGTTCCAGGGACTGGGTAGCACGAAACTGCACCATCGCGTGCTGACGCTTTTTCAAATCAGTGGATAAGTACCGTACATTATTGTGTCTCCAACAGGGACTTTCCCTTGTCGCTTGGCGAAAAGGAGCGATGTCACCACAACAACAAAGACAGACTCAGTACAAGTATGTACTATCGCCTAGCGCCTGCATGTAGCAGCTAGCATGCACAGATTTTTTAGGCGATCTCGCACTCTTTTTATCTTGCAAACACCTATTTTTGTTGTACTTTATTGAAGTTATGTATATAACACGTCCTTGTTTACATGACAGTGTAGGACTCGTAGTTGCTGGTGCAGTGGCCCTCAGGCCTCACTCTCACTCACTGACTCAGTTCATGTCCGAGGGTGAAATGGATCGCCGAGCTCAGTGGCCACCGCCACCGCTGAGCGGCATTTGAAGGTGATGATGGCACAGGGTCGGAGACAGCGGCTGAGCCCGTCAGCCGTGAATAACTCAGCCTTTTCAATCGGAATAGAATCAACGCCCTTGGCCCGGCGGCGGGCTGGTCCAGCTCGACAAGATGAAGAGTCATGACTGTATTATCTTAGTCTACAATGCAGATCTACAATGTACATGAAGGTCAGTGGCAGTGGATTTCTGGGATGATACCCGTTCTTGTAGCGACCGTCTCAACCGTGGACCAGCACAAGTCATGTATTTACAGAAATCATGCGACCTTTCTAAAGCACAGCTAAAATAAGGCAGGTCGCCGTGATCAGCTTCTAGAGCGGGCCAGTGGGTTCAACGGATGGGAATACCAGCACCGTCCTTGCATTGGAGTAGCACAACCGCTGGCTAAGGCCAATTACAACCCGCTAGGAAAAATAGAACCTTTTTTCAGCGAGTCAGGATGATAAAAATTAATGGTATCTAAAGGGGAAGTTAAGGCTAAAATCAAAATTTCACCAGTTATAGTCTTCGGGGTGCTGAGTCGAATGGTCTTGGTCCGAGAAAGCTGAGGCGCTCCCTTCATACTTTAATCTCAGTCGAACTCGCCCACTTCCACCGAAACTGGGTGACTGCGCCCTACTAGATGGGGATTTGTATGCAAAATGTCACTAAAAGCGCCATTTCGTTCTTATAAAAGCACGGATGACCGCGATTGGCCCGTATGTTGTAGTCTTTTGGACGCTGAGTCGACTGGTTTTGGTCCGAAAAGGCTGCGATGCAGCGTTCCGCCTTTATTCCCAATCGAACATTGTTGAACAAGCAGTCATGTGCTCCTGGGTGCCCAAATCACCTGGTCACCACGCCAGCAGGCGACAACTTTCACACCAAGGTTCCACTTGAGTTCAACTCGAGTGACAGGATGCACCCAAAAAAGGTCAAACAGGCTAGTAAGTTGTCGCTTTTAGTGACATTTTTGCATACAAATCCCCATCTACAAGTAGGGCGCAGTCACCCAGTTTCGGTGGAAGTGCGCGAGTTCGATTGGGATTCAAGTAGGAAGGGAGCGTCTCAGCTTCCTCGGACCACGACCATTCGACTCAGCACCCCGAAGACTACAACTGGTGAAATTTTGATTTTAGCCTTAACTTCCCCTTTAAAGGGGAAGTTAAGGCAAAAATTAAAATTTCACCAGTTGTAGTCTTCGGGGTGCTGAGTCGAATGGTCTTGGTCCGAGGAAGCTGAGACGCTCCCTTCCTACTTGAATCCCAATCGAACTCGCGGACTTCCACCGAAACTGGGTGACTGCGCCCTACGAGATGGGGATTTGTATGCAAAATGTCACTAAAAGCGCCATTTCGTTCTTATAAAAGCACGGATGACCGCGATTGGCCCATATGTTGTACTCTTTTGGACGCTGAGTCGACTGGTTTTGGTCCGAAAAGGCTGCGATGCAGCGTTCCTCCTTTATTCCCAATCGAACATGGTTGAGCAAGCGGTCACGTGCTCCTGGGTGCCCAAATCACCTGGTCACCACGCCAGCAGGTGACAACTTTCACACCAAGGTTCAACTCGAGTTCAACTCGAGTGACAGGACTGCACCCAAAAAAGGTCAAACAGGCTAGTAAGTTGTACCCTGCAGGCACGGTGACCAGGTGACTGGCGTACGCAGGAGCACGTGACCGCTTGTTCAACCATGTTCGATTGGGAATAAAGGCGGAACGCTGCATCGCAGCCTTTTCGGACCAAAACCAGTCGACTCAGCGTCCAAAAGACTACAACATATGGGCCAATCGCGGTCATCCGTGCTTTTATAAGAACGAAATGGCGCTTTTAGTGACATTTTGCATACAAATCCCCATCTCGTAGGGCGCAGTCACCCAGTTTCGGTGGAAGTGCGCGAGTTCGATTGGGATTCAAGTAGGAAGGGAGCGTCTCAGCTTCCTCGGACCACGACCATTCGACTCAGCACCCCAAAGACTACAACTGGTGAAATTTTGATTTTTGCCTTAACTTCCCCTTTAAGAAGCATGCCAGCTATGAAAATAATAATTCCCCTCGAAAATGAACCACAGGATGTTCGCATGTATACATTGAAGTACATGTACTACTAGTACAGTGTACCTAGTATCTGTCATGCACTTCTTTTTCCGGAATGAGACTGAGCGATGGCACATCTACATGACTTGTATGTCCTACCTGTAAGGGTTTCCAGATTATTCGCAAGAAATTGCGTATTATTGAGATACAAGATATTGTTCTCGAGCATCAAGATTCAAATCCAAAAAATGATGCTATAGGAAAAAAATATTCAAAAATCACTCAAAACCTGAAAATGATCTACCCGTTGCCATGGCAACGATGACGTAACATATGCATGAGAGCGCTGAGCTCAGATCAGACGCCACGTGCACTGACGTCGAAAATTTTCAGGCCCATCGCAGCACGTGATCGGTAGGCACCGGCGGACTATGCCGGCATAATTATTGGCATAATTTGGAGGTTGAAAATTTGGAGCATAATGAGGCATCCTTTCGGAGGTAGGAGCATAACTACATGGTTGTACCACAATTCCAGTATGTAAGCTACACAATTGTGTACAATGCAACTGATCAGTGCTTGTGGTCCGCATGGTAAAGGGTTTAGAGTAGCCCTTTTCCAAAGATGCTGGCCACTTTTGTCGCAACTTTCCGTTGTTTTTGCAAGAAATCGCAACTTTCTTCATTTTCACAAACTACTTCGCAACTAGTCCGAAAAGGTGTGCAGAGAAGCGCGCTGGATCGAGACCATCGACTGTGCAAGCTATGGTTATTGTTCTAATAATTAAAAAAAAATGAGGTATAGGTGATGTTCGGTCATGGTGGAACTTGGGAGAGGTGGAGCTACGGGAGAGATGAGCTGATTTTTCGCAGGGTGAGCGTGACATCGGTTGGACGAGTATGACGATTACGAAGGCAGTTGAACATGATAATTTTCAAAGGTAACTCAAACTAATTTAGCAATAAAAAATCTTTTTACAAAAGAAATCAACTAATGAATAGAAGGAGTCATGTTTTCTCTTTCCATGTTGATCTCTAGCATGCATGGTCATCTTGGTATGGGGATATTCATGTATTTTGTTGTACTAATGGCCACTTGCAAGTACGAAAAGGCACAATCAAGTTTCCGAACTTTGAGGCTCCATAAGTACAACAAAGTGAGTATGTATCCCTGCGTGCCAAAGCATAATATGAGGATTTCGCGAGCATAATGCGAGAATCCATGAAAGCATAATTCCATGATTTCGCGAGCATAATCCGCCCGAGCCTAGTGATCGGTGCCTTTGGTCCCTCAGATTTTCAACACACCTCGAAAAAAGGTATAAAAAAGGTAGAATTTGGCAAAATGTTCCGGAAAATTGTCGAATTTGCGAAAAATCACGGAAAACAGCAAAATTCGAAAAATTCCAAAGATCCAAAAAACACTCCATTACCGTATTTCCGGAAATAAAAGACCGTCCTCGTATACAACGCCTTCCTCGAATACAAGGCCGGGGCAGGGAGCAATTGAAAAATACAAGACCGTCTCCGATTAGAAGACCGGGCCTACTAAATGAGGATGAGAAAAATAGAAAACCGTGCTCAAACTGTGTAGAAGAAAATGGAAGAACGGGGGTAAAACTGTGTGGCGAAAAATAGAAGACCGGGGGGTCAAACTGGGTTGAAAGAGTAAAAGACCGTCCTCCAATACAAGACCGTCCTCAATTATAAGGCCGGGTTAGGACGAGTTTGAAAAAAATAGTAGACCGGCCTACTATTTGCGGAAATACGGTATTCAAAAAGATAATCTGGAAACCCCTACCTACCTGACACGCTGTGCTGCACACATCATCTACATGTACCTCATGCAAAGTGACCATTTTTGGCGGAGCCTTGCAGTCGATCAAGGCCCTGGGGCCCCAAGAGTGTGGAACTCTGCATATCAGTACAATGTCATGTTATTGGTTCGTGCGTGGTGCTGGGAGGCGTGTTTGTGCCTGGCAAGTTAACCCGAGGGGCGTACGCCTGAGGGCTCCTGGCTTTCAACGTGATCAGGACAATGGCACGGGAAGCCACATTGAATTGATCTCGGACACTGAGCCAATAATAAATACAGAGAGAAGAAAGGACAATTTGATGCAGTTCGTTCACAAAGTCATCTCCTTCCGCATTTGTCTGATATTTCCGAGTTGGTTTGCACATTGGATATTTGTTGGAGCAGGACGGTGCCAGGTCATCGACCATACTCAGTATCAGACTCTCAGTACTTTATTTTATGCCGAGCTATGACACCTCTGACTATGTTTTCTAGTTACCATGACAACGGTGTTGGCTGGCTGAGATTCTTGATGTGCACTACTGTCCTCTAAGGGAGCATCTCATAAGTTCGCATTTTGTTTCTAAACGTAACGCATTTCGAAACGGGGGTAGGGGGTAGCGCCCTTTTCGAATAGAAAGATGACTGTTCGCACATTTTCTGGAACTGTACAATCTACTACCTTGCTAGATCCCTGCAGCAAATGAGTGTGTTTAGGTTGAGATCTACCTGTGTTTGCAGATCAGCTAACCCTTGCACTGCATGCATGCAGGCTACTCAGAGGTGTCAAATGTCACACCAGCCTGATCAAACCATGTACCTGGCCAGGGTTTACAGCAGTACAGTTGTTATGTTGTGGAGGAACTATGTTTATGTGCGTGTACCTGTCATTGATTGTACTTGTACTCAGTAAATGCAGTACTACTGTATGCCATTCACGACCGCTCTAGCAAAACATTCATATCCATGTACATGTACATGACTGTACAATCATGTACATAAGCATACCATAGTATGGGGCATGGACGTGTACAGTAGATAAACACAGAAAATGTGCGATAAGACTTTCGAATAGAGGGGGGAGGTAGGGGGGTAAAGTCTATTCGAAATGCGTTACGTTTGCAAAATAAATGCGAACTTATGAGATGCTCCCTAACTGACTTGTGAAGTGTGTATCTCCCACTTCTGTAGGATAGGACGGGGTATAGCGGTAGGTTGCTCTGGTGAAGTTAGTGACCGATGCGGAGTTGTCCTTGAGCAATTAGTTGTTGCAGTTACGTTTAGAATACAGGTTTTGATGGAATTCAACTGTGACATGCACACACCTGGGGGGCGAGCCTGGCGTTGTATACAGGACAGTTGTACGTTCCATTGGTCACTTAACACTATACTTGGGTGTTGGCATGCTGTGCGTCGTCCGCTCAACTGGCAAACTTGCTCTTGCACCACTGAGATTCTCGTTTGCAACACGCCTGGATGGGGAACGAGACAACCGGTGGGTACTAGTATTCCAAAAGTGCGAGCCGGCTGACACACTCGGTTTAAAAAATCCACTGACATACCGATCGTTCGCGTCTATCTGGATTGGAGTGGCTGCGAATGCGCCAGTTACGACTTTAACACCGGCAGCTCAGTTCAAGTGCAAACCCCTGCTTTTAACATAGTTCGAGGATCCGGCTGCGTCATGCCAATTGCACCAACAATATCACAGGAACCATTCCTGGAAGACAATCGGCTTGAGAAGATCTCACGACTGTCACACTGGCCCACCAAAGCTGCCAAACACTCCGTAGCTTAGTTGTGCATATGCACGTCATTCTTCCAAGCAAGCAAGCATTTTAAATGGATGAGTAGCACATAATGCGTGTCTACACTGTCTAACCTATTCAGATACTTACAAGTATTTAGAAGTATGTCATGTATACCAATAGATACTCTTACTTAATGAAAGCACCGCCAATCTCCGCATATTTAATGTGATAGGTTGACTGGGACAGAATGAAAGAAAGCGAAGGTAAACTACGCCCGAGCAGTCATGCACTTCAGCTAGTGCTCAACATTGTCTCCTCATCAAATAACATGAACTGTGCCATGAAACTTTCTCGTTCAAGGGTGGCAGAGAGTACCTTAAGTTAAACGTTAAACAGAGAATTCGGATTGTGCACATGGCAGCTAACGTGTGGCTGTGCTCATAGCTAGCGATTGCTTCATGTTGCCAGCCAGAGAAGTGTACGGTTTCAGTGCTACTTGCTGCTATATCTGTTTGTCTGTATGTGTGTGTGTGTGTGTGTGTGTGTGTGTGTGCGTGCGCGCGTGTATGCTTAGAATAATTGAACACAATGATAATCGAATGTGCCTAGCTTACATGGCGTAGCTAGCGACACATCTGTCTGTGTTACCTAAGTTATGTACCCCTACTTGGTGAACGTTGCTATCGCTCGGACAGAAACACGGTCTATAAAGTGTGCTTAAATAGAAGTCAGGGTGCATACAGATGACTGCCCGTCAGCGGCTAGTGAATCTGCAGGTCAATTGCACGCCATATCCGAAGGCACTGGCTGCTGGAAAGCCGCCACCGCATGGTTGGACATGACTGGAGCATCTAGATTGGAGAGATGAGTTGTGTTGTTTGGGGTGGCCTCCGCATCATGCCCGCTCTCGCTGCAAGCGAAGTCTCTTGGCTCATTTCTGTGGCTTAGCTTCGATCACCATTGCTTGCTTCTGCTGCCTCTTTCTGAGTTGATTGCGATGCTCCCGGCTGTTATCGTGTCTATGCAGGCGGCTCTTTTGTTGAAGAGGGTAGTGCGGAGAGCAGAGTTCCAGGTCGCTAGCTGCTGATGGCCTGCGGCCTGGGCATGCGTTCGGGGTTATACCATTCTTTTGCCAGTGCTCGCAGCACTTGTGCATGCTCATGAGCTGCCGAGTGGTGCAGTTGCTGTCACACGCCTCGGCCATGGACACTTTCCCCAGCAGCATTGCGATTTTGAACTTCATGATGTGCTCGTACTTGCTCTGCACAAGTGGAAATTCACACGCACGCAACAAGAACAATTACTCAGATGAAATCCGGAAGCAGTTCCCAAAGGCCCCAGTATAAATGCACCAACTGCCAAGTTCATGACTCCTTCCCGGCCTCCCCCACTCCCACCGTCGCCTCACACCTCTTCCAATATTTCTCCTTCACCTCAGTTGAAGGTGTTGGAAATCGCCTTGTGCATTCACGAACAGAAGCCTGATATTTACAAGTTCAGAAGTACCAACAACAACAGGTACTGTATATTAGACTCGCATGGAGAGCCAAGGATTAAAATGGAAAAGAAAGGCCCAAAGGTTTACCGTATATTCCGGGGTGTGAGCCGCACTTTGCAACACCTAAAAGTACTCAAAATCGCCCCTGTGGCTTAGACTCCGAATGCTGGCCATGAATCAACCGGTGATATGGCGTCCCATGCATAACATGCATGTACGATGTCATTGGACTACGTTTTATATACTTTTCATGCACAGAAATCCATCATTGCAGTTGTACGATGCTTCTGTATTGTCAGCTCAGAGTCAGGGACAAACAAAGAACTTTTTGCTGGAACTTCAGTCGTGCTTCTCAGCTGTTTTTTTAATAACCATTGGTAAACGTCTTGTATGTACTAGTGCCGATCAAGTTTGGATGGCCAAAAATTCAAAATCGGACGTGCGGCTCGTACTCCGAATGCTAAAAGAGATAATTATGAGTTTTGGGCCCGAAAAGGGGGTGCGGCTTAGACCCCGGTGCGGCTAACACTGATCCCGGAACATGGTGCAGTACATGTTATCCGGGCCATAGTTTGTCCAACACTAACACATATATAAGCAAGATACTGGTGAATCTGATTGTGCAACAGTTCCCGCAACACTGCCAGGAGAAGTGGTTCGGATAGACTCTGCTATCCGATGGCAGGACTGCCAATCACTTACTCGATCGATGTGTGTTTCATTCTTTGACAGTCTTCCACTGTGCTGGTATACTTTGCGGAGCTTGTGGCGGCGCATGGCACGCTTCTTCTGGCCGGCTGCTCGCTTCCTCCTCCGACGCAAACTACAAACACCTGCGGTGCACACAATGAGCAGACCGGCCCACGTACTTAGTAACCTTAGTAACCTGCACCACTCAACAAGGCGTTTACAGTCGGTGTTTGCCCGGCCCATTTGAACACGACACCACCTTTGCTGAGGTTATACTTATTAATGTATGTTTGCTCTATATATGATGTTTGGTATTATCCATGCTGTGAATCACAGACAGGCTGGGTTCAGCTAATACAACACCAGAAGTCATGTCGATCAGTACGCTGAGCAGCAGCAACGGCAGAAAACATCATCATCATCATCATCAGCAGCAGCAGCAATGGCAGAAAACATCAGCAGCAATGACTTACTTTCAAAGGATCCCGAAAAACCGATATCAGTCGGGGGAGTACCCATTGAGATGAAATGAATCTGCACTTCACTGTGCGACAGTGTAACGACGTTGTTTGATAGATCTCCATTTAGTGCGGCAGCAAGTGTGGCTGATTGGCCAGGATTGTTACTGTACACATCAGTGTAGTCAGTGGTCCTTGTAAAACTGTTCGAATAGAAAACGACGTCAGCGGTGCATTCCGGGTTCGTTTCCCATCGGAACACAACATAGAAGTACGTATCATAGTGAAGCTGTGATGAGTTGTACTGAATGTCTGCCGGCATCTCGAATACCCTGTAGGTTAAGTCCTGTGGTGCGTTGCTTTCCACGGTCAGGCCCTGGTCAAAGTAGCTGATAGATGGATCATTCCAATGTCGATATGCTTCTCGTACATAGATATAGCTCTCCCTATAGACACAGAGAAGGAGCACACCAAACAAGTGAAGACTGTATTATAGCATTCATGCTAGCTGGCAGCATTTGGTGCATCAGCCCCGTTGTCCGTGCAAAAATGGTAGAGACTATACGGGAGCTTGTGAGCTTGCGACAAGACACTGGTCTGGGAGTTCTCGGACACGTGTGCATGCATGTCAATACAGGGAGATGCAACGGATCAGCGGGAAAGGCCCGCAGGGCAGTTGAATATGCAGTGCTGCACCTTGGACGTCATCCTGCGTCTATCCTTGTCTTCTTTCAACAGTGAATGCTCCCCCCCCCCCCCCCCATGTGCAGTGCATTGCATCCTGTAGTGTCGTGTATAAAAGCATGACCCGTATAGAAGCATGACTCGAATAGAAGCCGATTTTTTGAAGAGCGCCGGGACACAGAAGCACGATTTGAATAGAAGCATACGTCCAAGTACATGTATGTGCACCGCCACACTACATGCATGACCATTGTTATGAAATGGTCACTGATCTTGTGCATTGTGATTACATTTCACTGCACTGTGCAGTGTAGACTGAAGATTTTGACGTCATGTTTTGAATAGAAGCATAACTTTAATGGAAGCATGGTTTGAACCCCGGCTTATACGGCCGTAAGCATCTGCTTTTATACGCGACATAACGGTAGTTTTATAAACTACTTGAACTACACCAACTATGCAAGCAGATGTGTATTGCCTACTGCTCAGTGAGCTATCGTCTGAGTCTTGTGTCACCGCTTGTAGGCATCTGTAGTCTGCTTTGCTTTTTGCAACCACAAATCATCTGTGGCATCCAGAAGTTAGTGAGCAACACGTGCGAGTCCCCAATTGGCGCAGGCTACTTGAATACCCCCCCCCCCCCCCCAACACTATTCCCTATGACCCCCGGCCCACGCCGGCATCAGCTACCTTGCCGCGGTTTCAGTTCCCTTGATGCTAGCCACTCGGGCCTTCGAGGCTTTCTATAACATTTTTTGGGGTACTCAGACATCTCACTACTCCCCCCCCCCCCCCCGGAAAAAATGAAATGATCGCCTTGGCTTCCACACCCTCCCACTCCATACTAAAACAAGGGCGTAAGGGATGAATCACACTGACTTACCCAAACTCGGCCGCTCCAATCAGCAACAATAGCAAGGCGTTCAGTAGCATTCGACCTCGGCCACTCGCGCCCGGCAGCAGCCATGCACTTCCTCTCGTCTCAATCAGCCACGGATTGGCCATGGTCACGGCTGCTGCTGCTGTCCAGTGAAACTACTTGCTGTGCGTGTTCCGATGAACCTGCTGTACGCCAGCACACAGACATTATTCCGCACATGTACAGTGCGTGCCGAACAACAGCAGAGTTGTCAATTGTCAACAACTGCGGACCGAGATAAAGAAGTTTCTGCATGATTGAGGACAGGGCGGGCTGGTCCGGTCAAGCCAATTGGAACTTGAGCAGAAGCGGACAGCCATTTGCTTTGCAACGTAAACAAGGTCCTGATGACCTGGATGCAAAAACAATCTAGCTACATGCAACAAGCCTACAAAGGTTCTGCACGATTCCTTATAATATGCTCTTCATGCAGAAGCAGCAATGTTGGTCCAAGCCGCCGCTAAAAATTCCCAGATGGCCCGAGTCGTGACGGTTTCGAACTCCGAGCAAGCCGTTTACAGACTAGTAGCCCTAAGGGTGGACAGATCACCCGCTGAGCTGCCTGCAACCATCAATTGTTGTCAACAACAATGAAAACAACACCTCAGGATCTAGGACTGCCTTATCTCTCATTCTGCCCGACCGGTACAGGCGGAATGGACGCTGTTTGTGTCTGTCTGATCTACATCAGGTACTTACCAATCATTCAACGCTATCCACACCTCAATCGCTGAAGGTTTGGCTCGTGGTCTTTCGAAGTTATCCAACTCAGCTGAACTTGAACTGATTACTAGTCCTGACGACTTCAACCTGGCCGAGGGACGTACACTAGGATTCACCTTTCCACTTGATCCCTTGTTTAATAGAATTGCCGTGCCTAAGCATCTCTGATAGACTGATAGCTCGCTGCCAAGCCTACACTACCCTTGCACTCCCCGCGTATTTCCCGCAACGAAAGGTAGTGAGATTTGCTAGCCCCGGCCCTTCTGTCTGCTGCCATTGAGGCGGGGGGATAGGTAGCTGTACCCCTGGCCCCACATTGCAGTGTGTATTCATCAGGCGAGCTCAAAGAGCGAGGCGGATGTGTGTGAGCTGCACGTTCGAGGCCGAATCGCCACACAATTGCTCTAGTGTTCAGCGCAGGACTTGACAAGTAGTCGTATTTGCCCGAGGGAAAGCAGACCCCGGGGTCACACGGCTATGATCTCCCAGCAGCCGCGCAACGTGAAGGAATGTGTCCGGTGTCCACATCACGCGACGCAAGTGCACGGCACTGGATTGACGCCAAATTCGCCGAGGAGACTCATAGAGCCGTGTCTGAAATACAGGCGTCTGCGCGTGGCGTAGGAAGGTGCAGGACTAGGCTGCGCGTCTCAGACAGGACTACGGCCGTATACGGGTGCTTCATGCACCTTTCTTCATGCACTGACAGTCTATTGCACTGATCTGCCATCAAAGATCAGTCAATAATCATCGCCTGCCTATCACTGTGTCAGTTCAGTAAAATCCGAGCACCGGTTCACGAGACACAAACTGTACATGTAGATCTACAAGTAGTTGTGGATTGCTAGTGATGTACGAAAGACGAATTCTAGACATCGCAGAAACGTTTTTTTTGCTCCATCACTTGTACTGGCTGTAGTTCCGGATGTAAGCCTCGAGTATCAGCGGCTAGCAGTCTTGAGGTCAGTTTTCGACTGTTTGACACTGGTGAAGAGCACCGTTCAAGCTGATCGAAGACCAAGAATGATATACAACGGCAATCCGCTTTAGGGAGGGTTGATCCGCGACCACCACGTATTAGATCACGAAGTTTCAAGCGTCAGCAGGGACGAGACGTCCACACGGTTCAGAAGATCTAGTGTTTCGTGTGCGTGCGCATTACAAAGTGCTTCGATTTCCAGAGGCAAATCTTAGCTTTTGCTGTCTCTTTGGCGAAAAAGCGAAGGGGCTGAGTCTGAGAGTGGGTAATGAAGCGGAGAAGGAAAGAGTTTACGCCGTGGTATCCACGTGACAAATCAAGGCCGGCCGACACCGCTCACCCTTCTCTTTTTGGCAGGAAGGACAACGAAACGCTGCTCGTTCGATAATTTTCCGAACGTCTTTTTCCCTTTTGTATTGACCCTTCTTGTCACTAGTAGCAGTAATGCAGCCTCACGGGACAATGATTCGCCATGGAAAGACCACCCAAGTGGCGGTGCGCAGCAGCACAGCAGATCCCATCTGCAGCCAGGCCATAGCATGCACGCGGCCAGGAGGAGACGCAGCCAGGAACTGTAAACATGAAATCCGCATACTCCATACCATACCCTTGGGTGCCAGCAGCCTTGCCAAGCCAGGCCAGGCACAGGCCATGGTGCCAAGAACCGTCCTCTCGTCGACCGTTTCCAAGACTAAAATATCCGCCAGCAGCTCGGCCGGGCACTGTCCAGTATGCAGGATTGCAATTGCCTTATTGGCTCTCCCGCCGTAGATCATCAACATGCCGCGGATGCATGCGCTCGTGCAGTGCAGTGGTGAAGGTGTCCTCAGTCGCACTGCCTGCAGCTGACTTGTAGATTGTTTCTAGAAGATACTAAGGCTATCAGGATTACTCTACGGTTAGATGTGTTACCACTACTCTCTAACCCAGGCCCAGGCAGGGACAGTATGCTCCTGTGCAGGAAAAGCAAGCTATGATGGTGCCAGGCGTTCTCCTAAGTCTGCCATGCTCCGTTGCAGGCAAAGCAAGCACTCGCTATGGTACTACCAGGCTCTTTCCAACGTCTGCTGATCGTCTTCATGCGTCAAGGGCATTGCGGTTACAGGTCTGGACTGACAGCTTCCACGAATTGAAAATCACAATAATTATAATCACGTTCTCTCTCTCCAGGGCTTGCGTGCTGGTGCAAGTCACCGGTGCAATAGCCAGGAGACGTGCGTGTGTATGCATTCCTCCAGCAAGGTGCATGTCCGTTCACAATAGGCACACGTACAATGTACCTTGTATGCGTAGCCATGCCAGCTTGCTTGCACGTGCTGGTGCCTGTGATTGGTCCTTAACCCGGAGCCACTAGTAACAACCAGCATTGTGAAGTAAGTTCAGCATCTTGTGGTGGTGCATGTGAAAGTATGCAAGCTGTTTAAACGTGCCAAGTGAAGTTCACCAGCAGGACATTGGATTTGTGATTCCCTCTTGGACAATGAACTCGTCACAGCAAGTCAGGTCCAGATGGTGGATGCTAAGGAGCCTTCTTGCAGCAGCCGACTGTTTCTCTAAGCCCTCCCCCTCTCTCTCTCACGGGTAGTGCAGGTGCCCAGGGCCAAAGAAACCCGACCCCTTCATAGCAATCCGTACCGTTTTTTGCCCATTTCCACTTGGGCATGTACTGCATGCGTGACAGGCCAAAGAACGGAAAGGCCAGGCGCTCGCTCTTGCATTTGTCTACGCGGCCATGTGGCGCCGTGTCGGATTTCCTGCACCCCCGACTGCAGTATACTACATCTATTATTGCTGTTTTTAGTCTCACGACTGACACATAAACATGAGCGTAGACCTGCCAAAAAGTTGAACACACCACAGTGCAATGCACAGTTACTGCATGACTGTGTCAGTGTGTGTTATTGTTTTAGTGAGTTACATGTACATGTACTTAGTTGTAAATGGACATCCGTTCACATGCTGCTCGTATCATCCATGCCATGGCATTATGGCGCTGGTATCTGCTGATGCCCAGTGCAGTGTAGTAGTGAGGTGGAGTCTGAGGGAAAGGTACAGGTCACGTACACACATGCACACATACCCGCATGCTATGTTCGTCGTATGACCTGTAGTTATGACTGTATCGTCGTCATCCAGGGCGTGCATGGATCCGGATTCCTGTCCCAGCAAACGTCGCAGCTTCAGCGGAATAATATTTTAATTATGTATGACTTTAGTGACAATATTCACGGCATGCTGCGAAAGAGTGGTCGACTGAACCGCGACGCCCAGTGTTTGGCATGGACTGCATTCCAATTATGTACCCGGACTTTCCCTCTCTGAAACTGGAGACGCATTGCTTTACGTAACGGCGTTCCAACGCAGCTCCATCAACACGCACCGTGGGTACGCAGTATGAAGACCATCTGGTCTCTTTATCTCTTGCATTCGACTCTCTCATGCCAACGCCCTGATCGCCGGTCATTATCCGCCTCATAGCCGTCTTCAACAACAACAACAACAGCAGGAAAACGATTCCGAATTTCGAGAAGGTCTACTCCTGCCAAGCGACACACAACCTACAGGCTATTACGGCAAGGTACTGTTTGGGATTACGGGGCCGCGAGCGGACAGCATAACAATCGGGTAGTCGCAGCATATGTTACCTGCGTTCACGGCCTATCGATCATGGACATGTCGACAATGCACCTTTTCCCGCAAACAATGACAACTGCAGTATGTACGTTGGCGGCCGGCCGTTCGAGCCACGGAATGCCTGACTCAATACCCCGACTGGAAGGAGTGGGTAAACAAGAACTTTGCTTCACCCCCACTCGCATCCCAAGGTAGCAAGTTAGTACACTGTGAGTCGGGTGTCTCAATCTCCACTGGCAGTAGTATTGTCATGCGTAGGTCTATGGCTTGCTACATGTTGTTGAGTAGTCAACATCATTCTTGTGTTTGGACTGGCTGTTTTGGGATCCTTGCTTTTGAACACGCGCCCACCGGAGGCGGTCTGAGAGTCTGATGAAGAACCAGAGGTGCACAAGGTGACATAGAGTATGCGTGCTTGTCAACACCTTGTATCAAGGCACGATTTGCATCACCCGAAGATGCACGTCTGCTGAGATAGAGACATTCCAGCAATATCAGCTGTGTAATGCTAACCCTCCAGTCGCTCAGTCGAAACAGGAATTGAGCGCGTTATGTCGTCGCAAAATACTTGATGTACATGTCGCTTGCTATCGTCTGCTATAATTTTGTGTACTAATCCTTCTAGCAGTTCTACCTTCTTTTTGAGGATAGTTGGTAACTGACACAAGAGTCGGAAAGATATCCGTTTTCGCAATACGTGTGCATAGAATATTAGCTAATAGTCAGGATCACTTCACAGAGTCTCTTTTGTCTATGTCTACACTGCTTCGTAACGTTAAGCAGAACTGTAGGTCGCACTAGGCTATAGGGTGTTCTGTGATGTGCAGCCCGGCTAGAGTGGCAACAGACTGGAGAGCGGTTCTCACAAAGCTTTCTCGGCATCTATCTATACACAATCCGCGATTCTAAATGTACATTAATTTGAATACCTTTCCACGCCATGCAGGGGTTGCATGACGTCGTGATATCGGAGCAGGGATCACAATAGCACAATAGTCGAGGATTTCTCGAACTGCTCGATTCTCATTGGGCAGTGCGTGGACATCATCCAACGAGGGGTGGGGATTGTAGCCACAGGGGGAGAGGACAAACCCAGTCATGATAGCCCATATTAGTATTCTTTGTTTTGCTTTGAGGTTTTACTCGGTTCACTTTTCACGAGTTTCATTCGCTAGTAAAAGAGGCGTTTACCTTTTAGGGCATGGCACTAAATGAACTTCTTTTGAAGTATCTTGGTATCCTATGAAAGATTGCAGAATGCTAACGACTCATCAAGACTCGTTTACTGATCTGCAAGCACGTAAGAGTATGGTGACAATATGAAGGGTCAGCTGGGGCATTGCCTACATGACACCGAGTGTATCCCAACCTGTGGCATGGTAACCGTCGCCTGCGGTGCAGTTGGAAGTAACTGGCTGGGGCTTGAGGGAAGTTTGTTCGCTAACACTCTCATGCACGTACAATGTACGTGTACATTGTACGTACATGCTGCGCTTCTATTGACCGCAGAAGATCAAATCGTGAAGTAACTTAGTTGGTCTAATTGTGAGATCAGTGCATGAGCATGTCGTCCAACCACTCGCGTCACCTGCTATTGCACAGTCATAGCGGTATAGTATACTGTATTTCCAACGAGGAGCTGCGATCTCCTC